GGTTTCATCAGACCAGAGAATCTTGTTTCTCATGTTCTGAGAGTCTTTAGGTGCCTTTTGGCAAACTCCAAGCGGGCTGTCATGTGCATTTTACTGAGGAGTGGCTTCCGTCTGGCCACTCTACCATGAGGCCTGATTGATGGAGTGCTGCAGAGATGGTTGTCGTTCTGGAAGGTTCTCCCATCTCCACAGATGAACTCTAGAGCTCTGTCAGAGTGACCATCGGGTTCTTGGTCACCTCCCTGACCAAGGCCCTCAATTGCTCAGTTTGTCTGGGCGGCCAGCACTAGGAAGAGTTTTGGTGGTTCCAAACTTCTTCCATTTAAGAATGTTGGAGGCCACTGTGTTCTTGGGGACCTTCAATACTGCAGAAATTTTTTGGTACCCTTCCCCAGATCTGTGCCTCGACACAATCCTGTCACGGAGCTCTACGGACAATTCCTTCGACCTCATGGCTTGGTTTTTGCTTTGACATGCACTGTCAAATGTGGGACCTTATCTAGACGGGTGTGTGGCCTTTCCAAATCATGTCCAATCAATTGAATTTACCACAGGTGGACTCCAATCAAGTTGTAGGAACATCTTAAGGATGATCAATGGAAACAGGATGCACCTGACCTCAATTTCGTGTCTCATAGCAAAGGGTCTGAATACTTATGTAAATAAGGTATTTCTGTTTTGAATTTTTAATAAATGAGCAAACATTTCTAAAAACCTGTTTTTGCTTTGTCATTATGGGGTGTTGTGTGTAGATTGCTGAGGATTTTGTTTTTTAATAATCCATTTTAGAATAAGGCTGTAACGTAACGAAATGTGGAGAAAGTCAAGGGGTCTGAATACTTTCTGAATGCACTGTAAGTCATGGCAAAATGTCTAGAATTGTAGGAAATTTGCTTTAAAGCTGCAATATGTAACTTTTTGGGCGACCTGACAAAATTCACATAGAATGGATGTTTTTGTTGTTATTCTGTCTCTCACTGTTCAAATAAACCTACCATTAAAATTATAGACTGATCATTTCTTTGTCAGAGGGCAAACGTACAAAATCAGCAGGGGATCAAATCCTTACTTTTTTTTTTTTTGTCCTCACTGTGCAGTGCCTGAATTGTTACAGCCTGAATTCAAAATGGTTGAAATTAATTTTTTTCTCACCCATCTACACGCAATAACTCATAATGACAGTGAAAACATGTTTTTAGAAATGTTAGCAAATGTATTGAAAATTAAATACAGAAATATCTCATTGTGCAACATTTGCCATTTATTATTTATTATTTTCAAACTTATTCAAGCTCTGTCAAATGGTGGTTGATCGTTGCTAGACAACAAGTTTCAGGTCTTGCCATAGATTTTCAAGTAGATTTTAAGTCAAAACTGTAACTCGGCCACTCAGGAACATTCACTGTCGACTTGGTAAGCAACTCCACTGTAGATTTGACCTTGTGTTTTAGGTTATTGTCCTGCTGAAAGGTGAATTTGTCTCCCAGTGTCTTTTGGAAAGCAGACTGAACCAGGTTTTCCTCTAGGATTTTGCCTGTGCTTAGCTCCATTCCATTTCTTTTTTATCCTGAAAAACTCCCCAGTCCTTAACGATTACAAACATACCCATAACATGATGCCTGTATCTTTGTAGTGACTGGGTGTATTGATACACCATCCAAAGTGTAATTAATAACTTCACCATGCTCAAAAGGATATTGAATGTCTGCTTTTTATATTTTTAGCCATCTACCAATAGGTGCCCTTCTTTTCGAGGCATTGGAAAACCTCCCTGGTCTTTGTGATTGAATCTGTGTTTGAAATTCACTGCTCGACTGAGGGACCTTACAGATAATTGTATATGTAGGGTACAGAGATGAGGTAGTCATTCAAAAATCATGTTAATCACTATTATTGCACGTAGGGTGAGTCCATGCAACTTATTATGTGACTTGTTAAGCACATTTTTATTCCTGAGCTTACTGTATTTAGGCTTGCCATAACAAAGGGGTTGAATACTTATTGACTCATGACATTTTAGCTTTTCATTTTTTTTCTCTCGCTTTGGCATTATGGGGTATTGTGTGTAGGCCAGTGACAACAAATCTCAATTGAATCCATTTTAAATGCAGGCTGTAACACAACACAATGTGGAAAAAGGTCAAGGGGTGTGAATACTTTCTGAAGGCACTGTATCTCTCCATTATGCGTGGGAATACTTTGGAACAGATTCCAAAATAAAATTCTCTTGGAGCTGATTTTACAATCTTTTAACTCCAACAATAAAAATATAAAACTTTTTATTATCAGAGCTTGGGTGGCCCAGTTGGGGAACCCTGTCCTAAGGTAATGTGATGGTCCAGGTATAAGGTACCTGGGGTATTTGTACAGAATACTCAAGACCCCCCCGATGCTAAAAGCCCATCGGACTCCTGTAGGCTTCTCCCTAACCAGACCTTCATATCAACCTGAGGTGCTAGACATGGTTTTAGGAGTCTCTGGAGCCACACATTGGAATGTCAATATACATTCGGTTTTTTTAGTCAAATGTATCAGCGATAAATTACGACAAATAATATACATTTTTGATATTTTTTCTTCATTATTTATTTACATCACTTCATTCAAACACAGTATGAAAAAGCAAAGTATTGGCAGAGGGTTTGGTTTGAGATTAGTGACAGAAATATATACGATTCCCCAAAAATAAAACTGTTCACAGCTTTTAAAAGCATTATAGTGAAAATTCCGTGTCATCTGTAGCATTGCAGACAAAAATACTTTCAATGAACTGTTTAAAACAGAAATATATATCAAATTCACATTCGCTCTTCCACAAGAAGCATAACCAGTATATAGCCTGGATGCCAACCGTCATCTCTATAAACCAGCTAGGACTGACCGTCACCATCGGTCTGGCAATAACATCACTGTCCAATACACCACAGACCTAGACGGGCACCCAGGCTATTTAAAGTGAGTGTTAACATTCAAGCAGGAGCTATTTAGCCTCCTATAATGTACACAGTGTATCCTATAGAGCAGTAGAGTTGATTCGGCTAGAGATAGAGAGTGGGGAGTACAGACAGACAGACAGACAGACAGACAGAGACAGGAGGGGTGTTTCATTCACTGGAGGGTAACTGGGCTGGACGGTCTTGGGGTTTCCACTGGCTAGGGCTTTCTAGTCTCTACTCACTACCGATGTCAACAAACAAAGGCTAAAACAGAGACAGTGTCTCATCCAATCAGGGGAGGCTGGCCTGGGCCGAGGCTTTCTGCTGGGCCAGGGGAAGGTTTGACTACTCTCTAGTTTCTCTACCCCGCCTGCTGGCTTTACACTAATTAAGATGGGGGGAGGACGGAGACCTGGTTAGGAGGCTGTGTTTACATTAGCCACCCTAAAGGCGTCTGCATGCTTCCCATCCGAAACAGTTTGTGCGTATACTATATTATGACGCCATTTTGTGACGTTTTGGTTCGTTTTGGTCTTCTGCAAGGTTTTTTTTTTTTTGGGGGGGGGGCAGTTCGTGCACACAACATTCTTTCTTGAGGCAAGCCGAAGTCTACGCCCCTTTGTTGGTGATTGGTCAACAGTAGGGATTCTTCAATGTAGTGTTTGTTGTCATTCAATGAGACGACTCGTTTTCACATTCTTTCCCTAAAGAAATACTGCACCAAACATCTTAGTTAGATGTAAAATTGCGTGACTAAGACCTCCTCTGAAAAAAAAAAAAAACGTCACCATTTATTACAGATTTCTTGAGTTATCTTAGATTAATTCTGACTATTTTGTGGAAGCGTATACTGGCTACGGTGTCTCAAGAGGGGCAAAGAGTCCTAATGCAGTTTTTCAAGCAAAGGCCTTTTAAGGGAGTGTGCGAGGCACAGATGTTCGCTTCGCCTAGCCGAGTTCTGCTAGCAGCAAACCGAACCTAGTATGCTGCAGAGGGCTTTGGGCTACAAGCCTCACCTCAGGCTGAGGGGGCTGGGGGATTATAGCTTATTCCCTATACAGTCATTACATTGTAATTGAAAATGTGTTCCCCAAGTTGCCTCAAGATTGATCAGAGCTAAAGAATGAATCAACCTCTCTACTGTCTCGAACATGCGACGACTATCAGTTGATAACATTACATTGGTTGGTAGGTGAGAGGTTGGAGGTAAGAGGTATTGATTGCATCAAAGCCTAATCATTTCATTAATTAATTTGGTCGGTGCTTATATTTGACCTATTTCCTATTAGTCCTATGTGGGGGGTTTTTTCACATCCCAACTCTCCCTGAGACACCCTCGCAGAGTGGGGTCGCGACCCTGGAGCAATTAGGGTTAAGTGCCGTGCGATTTTTCACCTTGTCGGTTGCTGGCCCAATGCCCTAACCGCTAGGTACCTGCTGCCCTAATCAACACATTGGCCTGTGGAAGCCATTCCCAGTTCACACACAGGTAAGAAGTTAGCACCTAGCCTAGCGCTGTGACTTCAGGTAGCTTAGTGGTTAAGAGCGTTGTGCCAGTAACCGAAAGGTCGCTGGTTCTAATCCCCGAGCCGACTAGGTGAAAAATCTATCGATGTGCCCTTGAGCAAGGCACTTAACCCTAATTGCTCCTGTAAGTCGCTCTGGATAAGAGCGTCTGCTAAATGACAAAAAATTAAAAATAAATACAAATACACTGTTGCATATGAATAGGCCTGGGTCTGTGTTGCTAGGCAGCAAAGAATACAAATGAGAAAAAGCTAACAACCAACCCCCTGACTACCTACAATGTCGTCCTCTCGCTCAACTCTCTGACTATCACACAGAGGTAGTGTGGTAAGCTCTCAGGGTGGAAAAGGCACCAATCCAGACCATGCAAATGAATTCACAACATTTATATGACAGCCTTGTCCCACTGACAGGATGTACTCAATGTCCTTGGTTTGATTTGATATTCTCTTGTCTTTAGTGTGCTTCAGTACCCCTTCTTACTTGGTTACCTAAAAGGGCTACTGAAGTACGCTATGCCACTGTCTCCAGACCAGGAGTCCCATAGAACTCAGTTCATTCACCAATGCTGGGATGATTCCAAAGCTCCATGCTCTTAGTAAGTCTTCATGAGTTAATAAATAATAATAGTCATTATTCTGTCCAGGACCCATGGGATCTCATCTCAGATAAAACAGAAGAACTTCTTCCAGCTGCATTTAGAGAAGGCCTTGGTGCGTCTGTCCGACAGCTGCCTCTTCTTCTCCTTCCTGGCCTTGTGTTTGATGGCAGCAAAGATGGCCGCGTCGAACGCCTCTTTTAAGTTCTTCTGCGTCAACGAAGAACACTCCACATAGTCCGCCGCTCTGATCTTCTCCGCCATGCTCCGTGCCCGAGGGCTAAGCACCGGTTTGACCCCGCAGCGGGCCAGGTTGATCAGAACGTTGACGTCCAGCAGGAGGTCGGACTGGGTGCCCACAAGGATGATGGGAGCTGAGGGGTTGCAGGCTCGGATCTCGGGGATCCACTTGTTGGTGACATTGTGGAAGGAGGCGGGGTTGACCACACTGAAGCAGAGCAGGAAGACGTCCGTGTGGGAGTAGGAGAGGGAGCGAAAATGGTCAAACACCTCCTGGAAATGTCATGGTAGAGAGAAAGATGGGGGTGGGGTAGGGGGGGGGAGAGAGAAAGAGAGAGAGAGAAAGAAAAAGGGGTCAGGTTAGCTGATTCAGCAGTGTGTGTGAATGTGAATGCTGTCTGGGGGTCTGAACAACAACAATGGACGCCGTGACAGAGAGAGACGATGACTCACACAGTATGACATGTAGTGGCCTTTGGAACCAAACTACTGCTGCTACATGTGAAAGACTGATTGCTTTCCTGTCACTCATTATTTTTTATCATTACTCATGACTGATTCTACAAAGCAGACGTATGTTGTTGTCTAATTCATCTCTAAATTGCATTCCAACATGTTTCAAACCGTTGTCATTAAATTGCAATGATGAGATTAATTAAATTGGACTGATGAGATTCAAGAATAGACTATTCATTATGGATGATATAATTTTCTTATATATATTTTAAAAAATATATATATATATTCTTACCTGTCCAGCTGTGTCCAGTAGTTGTATTCTGACTGGGGCTCCTTCCACTTGGACCTGACCTATTGAAGAAAACAGAATGCAATTATTTCATAACTCAAGTTTGGTAATAGTTTGGGTTTGTAAATCATAGGCTCTAGTTTTTTCCATAAACAATAATATACAGTGCAATTACCTAGTAGAAAACAATACATTTAGTTATTACATTTTCATAATGGGATGTAGCTCAGTTGGTAGAGCATGGCGTTTGCAACGCCAGGGTTGTGGGTTCGATTCCCACGGGGGGGGGTATGAAAAAAAAAAAAAATAATGTATGCACTCACTAACTGTAAGTCGCTCTGGATAAGAGCGTATGCTAAATGACTAAATGTCATAAATTAGGATATTATAAGGTTTTAAACATAGACTATAACGTTTTTTTTCCTTAAATTTCTTTCCAGTAATTGAAAGGTACTCACCAGAAAAGACGTCAAAGCCGGTCTGTTTGTATTCTGTGGGGTATCCATTGCTGGTGTAACTGACTATCATGCTCGTCTTCCCCACAGCCCCGTCCCCCACCAGCATACAGCTGATAGCCACTGGCTCCCTCTCCAACCTGGCCTCTTGGCTCATCAGTCCGCATGAAGAGGGGACGCGGGATTCTTCACAATAATAATCCATTTGAGGTGGCATGTCCAACGATAAAGTTGAAGAATATTAACTTTCCAGTGCATAAGAGCTCAGTCTTATTTTAGGCTATTCCGAAGTGCGATTCTCTAGAATCGTTTTTTCCCCCTGTATGATCCTGGATGTGTTCTGTAGGCTCACCTTGTCTATTTGTGAATGACGGTGAAGCGAATTGGTTTTGAGGCAACTTTCCGATCAGTCAGGTCGTGATTTGCATAGCCCCGCCCCCACCATACGCAAATCAAGGAAAGGTGTGAACTATTTGCAGATGGTTGGCAAAGAATATATATATTAAGAACCTTGGATGGTTGGTTGAGTTCGTGTATTGCAGGCTGTTTTGAAATATTTGCTGTGATATTCCTTGTTTTGATAGTGATGATAATACAATTATTTATCTTTAAACTTTTTGGTCTTGGAATTTTCTCTATTGTGCAAGGAATCAAAAGTGCAGTCAATTATTTCCAGTTGTGTATTTTGACAACAGACAATTGTTATATGAAGTATAATTAACGAAGGTCTTGTATTGGCCCAAAAAATGGTCAAAGACTCTAGCCACCCTAGTCATAGACTGTTCTCTCTGCTACCGCACGGCAAGCGGCAAGTGGTCCTCTGTAGCTCAGCTGGTAGAGCACGGCGCTTGTAACGCCAAGGTAGTGGGTTCGATCCCCGGGTCCGGGACCACCCATACACAAAAAAATTATGCACGCATGACTGTAAGGCGCTTTGGATAAAAGCGTCTGCTAAATGGCATATTATTATTATATTATAAGTCTAGGTCCAAAAGGCTCCTTAACAGCTTCTTCCCCCAAGCCATAAGACTGCTGAACAATTAATCAAATGGCTACCTGGACTATTTGCATTGAGCCCCTTTTTCAGTAGGCGCTGTTTAATATTCTACTTACCCCTACCTACAGTTTGACAAATATAAACCACCTGCAACATTTCTAATTTCTGATTTACGTTACTAGAAGAAATCAAATGTAGCTAAGCACGCGCTGTAACGCCCAGGTGGGTCGAACCCCCGGACCATACACCAAAAAAATTATTGACTGTAGTCGCTTGGATAAACGTCTTCAAGGCAATCATCATCAGTTAATTGAAATTAATTCATTAGGCCCTAATCTATGGATTTCACATGACTGGGCAGGGCGCAGCCATGGGTGGGCCTGGGAGGGCACAGGCCCCCCACTTGGGAGCCAGGACAACCCACTGGGGAGCCAGGCCCAGCCAATCAGAATGAGTTTTTCCCCACAAAAGGGCTTTATTACAGACAGAAATACTCCTCAGCACCCCCCCCCCCCCCCCCCCCTCCCCCGCAGGTGAAGAAGCAGGATGTGGACGCCCTGGGCTGGTGTGGTTACACATGGCCTGCGGTTGTGAGGCCGGGTGGATGTACTGCCAAATTCTTTAAAATGACGTTGGAGGCGGCTTATGGTAGAGAAACACACTTTTAAATATCTGGCAACAGCTCTGTTCGACATTCCTGCAGTCAGCATGCTAATTGCACGCTCACTCAAAACTTGAGACATCTGTGGCATTGTGTTGTTTGACAAAACTGCACATTTTAGTGGCCTTTTATTGTCCCCAGCACAAGGTGCACCTGTGTAATGATCATGCTGTTTAATCAGCTTCTTGATATGCCGCACCTGTCAGGTGGATGGATTATCTTGGCAAAGGAGAAACACTCACTATTAGGGATGTAAACAAATTTGTGCACAACATTTGAGAGAAATAAGCTTTTTGTGCATATTGACAATTTCTGGGATCTTTTATTTCAGCTTATGAAACATGGGACCAACACTTTACATGTTGCGTTTATACTTTTGTTAAGTATACATATTACCTTAATTACCTTGACTAACCGGTACCCCCGCACATTGACTCGGTACCGGTACCCCCTGTTATAGCCTCCTTATTGTTATTTTATTGTGTTACTTTTTTTTCTTACTTTTTCTTTTTTATTATTATTATTTTTTTAGCAAATATTTTCTTACTTAAAAAAACATAATCTGCATTGTTGGTTAAGTAAGCATTTCAAGGTAAGGTGTTGTTTTCGGCGCATGTGACAAATACAATTTGCTAGGATTTTTTTGTTGTTGCAGTGCATTGATTTATTAGCCCAATGTCATAAAACAGATGGCAGTTTCTCTTTGAAAATGTGACAATGTGCGCCTCCTCCTGCCAGACTATAGAACTACAAGATTGTTCTCATCACATGATTTTGGTGCCAAGATCACCTGACTACACACTGGTTCCCCCCTTTCTGTGCATTTGTAAATTATCTGGAAGCTACACCCAATTGGCATGTTTTGAGTGTTTTTAGATAATGCAGTTTTCTTTCATGTAGAGTAACTTACGCTTTAATTCTGAATCCTTTATCACGAAACAGACTGGGGTCGTTGCAGACTCCAGTCTAACAAGCTAGCCACCTTGTTAGCTAATAGCTAGTCCAGTCATCATGCCATCTCATGATCTGACTTTGTAGCAGTTAAGTTAGCTGGTAGTTAGGGTTTCTCTGTTTTAGATCACACCTACGTTTTGCAATGTCTTCTATCCTGGATGAATACGAAGACTCGCAGAGCATCAGGCACCCTGTGCAACACAGTAGCCGCCTGTCTGCTGCCAACATCGGCATAACACACTCAGGTACTGAGGCGAGGCTACGGGCCTTTCAAATGGGTCTGTTTATGATAAGGCTCTATTGTTTGGACTATCTTTATTGTTGAATTTATGCACCGAATTACTTTAATATAGCTAGTAGAATTATTATATGTATTAATGTTCCGCTTGATACCGATTTGATAATATGGAATCGATGTTGGCAATTATGTAGCGCATTCATAAACGCTAGCTAGCGAACTACCTTTAGTGCGTATTGACGAAAGTATCTTCTGACCTAGCCCTTGACCATGACTCTCAGTTCCATTACTTTACACATAAGAGTCATTGGACGAAGGCGTCTTCTGTACGAGGGAGTTTGGTTAAAGGGTTATTTATATCTGCGTCTCTGAACACCGGTGTGTAAATGGAAGACGGATGCCACAAACGTGTTGCCACTGAAAATTACTGGCTGCAACTGTGTTAAACCCTATTAAAACAGTGTAGAGTAAGTGTATATTTTGCATTTGTAAAATAATTTTGATGTGATATGAAAGCAGAGGGCTTTATGTTTCTAGAACCATACCGGAATTGAGAATCGATTGATGTTTAGATGGAGTATTTGGCTGTTTTGGCTGCCAGAGCCAATTCGCCTCTAAACAGAACATGTAAGGTCCTTGGACTATAAGGAGTAATGTTAGCCTCATTTAGGCCATTATTGGGCTAGCGATGATGATTGACATAAGTGACAATATTAATAGTTGCTTCTGATTCTTTGCAGGGTTTGTGAATGTGAGACTAGAAGAGGAGAAACCGATATTCAACAAACAGAGGATTGATTTCTCACCCCCAGAGAAAATCAACCACTTCGCTGTCTGCAACAATCAGCTATGCATGAGTTTAGGGAAGGACACTCTTCTGAGGTAGGGGACACTTTTATCTGCAACATCCCCCCCCCCCCCCTAGTGATCCAGTGTTTTCATGGTGTTGTGAATAGCCCTGTCCAATGTTCCCTCTAAGCTGTGTGTGTGTGTGTGTGTGTGAGGAAGTCCTGGCTCTAGGACTGCCACGCAGAAGAAATACCTGCCCGCGCAGAGAGACGCACAAGTTTGAACTTCACTGAGTTCACCCTGTTAGTTTACACTATATTTATATCAACATTTTCCTCTGTGGGACTTGTGATTGAATCAACATAGTATCACCCCCCCCCCCTTTGAATGCAAACAAATCTAACATTGCAAGATTGAGTTAGTGATTTTGTTGTGGACATTGCGCATCCAGAGAGGTTAAGCGAGAGGCCAAAATCTGTATAAAATAAGCCCAATGCATTTCTATGGGCTTATTTTGGACCTAAGCTTGTCGCCTGCCTTCACGCCTTTGGGACAACAACTTCCATTGTTAGGGCGAAGACATGAGCAACTCATTATAGACAGATGTCTGGCGCATCGGAGGAGAATTCTGACCGGTAGCCTACAAGTGGTGTTTTTCCGGTCGTGGGTGGATGCGTTTATCAGCTCAGAGCGCATAGTGACGTGTGCACGTTTGTTGATATTCTTTGCAAGTTATTAGCCCAGATATATAGTGAATTATTAGTTAGCAATGGGAGAGTGATTGCGTCCTAAAAGAGGACAAAACTGGTAGGCCTACATTTCTAGCTGTTTTTGAAAAATGAGTCTGGTAAATAGCTGGTTTATGTCTTAAAGTGGCAGTGTTGTATTTTGAGAGGCTGGAATTTGGAAAGAAGCCATCATGCAGAGAGAGGGTGGCCTACATTTCTGTCTAATTGACTGTATGGTGATAATAATTGATTTTATTTTATAAATTGGTTTCTTGCATCATACAACACAATAAAATGCTATTTTCAGTCACCTATTTGGCCTATGGTGTTACAGACCAGTAAAACATCAGTCCTACTTGTGTAAGTGGCTAAAAAGGTTAATGTCAAGCCTCACATGTTTTTAGAAAGTTTCATGCCAGCAACAAACACTGACACTACACATCCAAGTATATCTGAACAAATTATGAAAGGCAAGAATTGTAATTTTGAATTCAGTAAAGTGAGCGTGGAAGAGGTGAAAAGATTGTCTATCAACAATGACAAGCCACCGGGGTCTGACAACTTTGATGGAAAATTACTCCGGATAATAGCAGACGATATTGCCACTCCTATTTGCCATATCTTCAATTTAAGCCTACTAGAAAGTGTGAGCCCTCAGGCCTGGAGGGAAGCAAAAGTCATTCCGCTACCTAAGAATAGTAAAGCCCCCTTTACTGGCTCAAATAGCCGACCAATCTGCCTGTTACCAACCCTTAGTAAAGTTTTAGATTTTTTTTTGACCAGATACAATGCTATTTTACAGTAAACATATTGACAACAGACTTTCAGCACGCTTATAGGGAAGGACATTCAACAAGCACAGCACGTACACAAATGACTGATGATTGGCTGAGAGAAATTGATGATGAAAAGTTTGTGGGGGCTGTTTTGTTAGACTTCAGGTTATGGCATTAAACCCCCTGCTATATTGTGGATAAAGAGTTACCCGTCTAACAGAACACAGAGGGTGTTCTTTAATGGAAGCATCTCCAACATAATCCAGGTAGAATCAGGAATTCCCCAGGGCAGCTGTCTAGGCCCCTTACTTTTTTCAATCTTTACTAACTACATGCCACTGGATTTGAGTAAAGCCAGTGTGTCTATGTATGCGGATGACTCAACACTATACACGTCAGCTACTACAGCAACTGAAATGACTGCAACACTTAACAAAGAGCTGCAGTTAGTTTCAGAATGGGTGGCAAGGAATAAGTTAGTCCTACATATTTCAAAAACTAAAAGCAATGTATTGGAACAAATAATTCACTAAACCCTAAATCTCAACTAAATCTTGTAATAAAGTATGTGGAAATTGAGCAAGTTAAGGTGACTAAACTGCTTGGAGTAACCCTGGATTGCAAACTGTCATGGTCAAAACATATTGATACAACAGTAGCTAGGATGGGGAGAAGTCTGTCTATAATAAAGCGCTGCATTCTTAACAGCACTATCAACAAGGCAGGTCCTACAGGCTCTAGTTTTGTCGCACCTGGACTACTGTTCAGTCGTGTGGTCAGGTGCCACAAAGAGGGACTTAGGAAAATTGCAATTGGCTCAGAACAGGGCAGCACGGCTGGCCCTTGGATGTACACAGAGAGCATGTCAATCTCTCCTGGCTCAAAGTAAAGGAGAGATTGACTTCATCACTACTTGTATTTGTGAGAGGTATTGACATGTTGAAGGTACCGAGCTGTCTGTTTAAACGACTAGCACACAGCTCAGACACCCATGCATACCCCACAAGACATCTCACCAGAGGTCTCTTCACAGTCCCCAAGTCCAGAACAGACTATGTGAGGCGTACAGTACTACATAGAGCCATGACTACATGGAACTCTATTCCACATCAGGTAACTGATGCAAGCAGTAGAATCAGATTTTTAAAAAACAGATAAAAATACACCTTATGGAACAGCGGGGACTGTGAAGCAACACAAACATGCATACACACACATGATAACATACGCACTATACACACCCATACACATGGATTTTGTGTTGTACATATGTGGTAGTGGGGTATGGGCCTGAGGGCACACACTTAGTGTGTTGTGAATTATGTTATGAATGTTTTAAAAATGGTATAACTGCCTTAATTTTGCCGGACCCCAGGAAGAGTAGCTGCTGCCATGGCAGCAGCTAATGGGGATCCATAATAAATACAAATACCTGCATTGAACACCATATATAGGCTATTGTACGCTATGTCATAGAAATAAATAGGCTCTATTGGTTTTGATGATAGGCCACTCTTATAGGCCTACATTATGCTCAAATATCCACAGTAGCCTACTTGGCCACACCATAAAACTGTTACTTCAGTGTTCACAGTAAACATACGCTGGAAGTTGCACAGAATACTCACACGTTTCTGTTCACAAGACGTGAAATTTGCTCAGTGCCTAATTTTTTTGAAGGAACATTGGCCCTGTCACTCATGCCTATCTGTGTGAGAAGAACCGAACGTGTGAATGGTGCAGTTTGTATCTCGATGTGATCGCTAAGTGATTGGATTAAAGGGTTAAGGGTTGATCATGTCAGTCATTCAGGGTGATCGGTAAAGGATTATCATGGTGTTGATTTGAGTGCCTACTGTGAAACATTGGATTGGTATAATGATGATGATAATGTCATGACTGTCCACGAGAATCCAAATAGGTCAGATCAGGTGTGCAATGAATAACTTCAATCAGACCCCCTCTCACCCGTAGAGGGGGGTTAACAGCTCACGCCCGGTCGTAAATCAAGGGAGAAGGCCCATGCTCTCCTTCTCAAGATCCCCTAAGGAATGTATTTTTTTAACCGACTTTTTCCCACTGAAACTTTAACACGTTCAAAAGCAAGTACTGGAACAATATTTCCAACATAGAACGTGTGGAATGGTCGGAGGCAATCTACATAACACTAATGTTATTTTGTGATGTCATTACAAATGTTATAAAGGAAATACTGTAACTTATACAGGAAAGTATACCCACTACATGTAGGAAGTTTCCATCCTATACGTTGTGCATGTAATATGAAAAATGATTAAAGTATTTTTGTTAAGAGAGGGATTTGAGAACGCTATAAGAGAGAATTGTTTTCCATAAGCTTTGCACAGTAAGTAGTCACGCCCCCGAGTGAGGTCAGAGAGCGTGTCAGCCTGACGGAACCGGCCCTTTCGAGCAGAGTGTATAAAAGGATGGGTTACGAATTAACATATGAGACCAGAAAGACGTCGAGCTGCAGCTCACGTTCAAAGTGGTTCAAACCCAGAATCTCAACACGAGGTAGAGAAGAAAACTCCCCTACCGGACAATCACTGGTACGGCTGATTAGCTGTCCTAAGTACCGTATCTAGAAAATAGAATTTAAGTGGGACCATTCTACTACTCTTTTCAAACCATCCTATTACGCTACTCTCATCACCCCACTGGGGACCATCGACACAGCTGGCTAGCCTATCTTCAAAGACGCAACTTCAAGAGCGACGGGAAGAAAAATCTATTCTGTAGTTCTGTTCGGGACTACATGACAAAGATTAAAGACTGGACAATTAAGAAGGACATTGTGACCCCTTGTGGACAATCAGAGCCTTACAAGCATGCCGCAGAAAGGCCCAACCAACCCCTGTCCAAGAGGTATACGAATACATTCATGATTTCTTACTCCAAATGGGTGGCGGTTCGTGTGCAAAGTATATCATTACTGTGAGAGTAGTTTCTAACTGTACCAAAGTATTATGTCCCTATCCCTCTCTGCATGTACCGTATTGGTGTCTAAGATGAGTGAACATGACTTTATAAAGGAGTTTATGAAGTTTTCCTCTGTATGTTGTTCCAGGATTGACCTTGCCAAGCCCGACCAGCCCAACCAGATAGAACTGGGGAGGAAGGATGACAGCAGAGTACACAAGCTCTTCTTGGACCCCACAGGTGAGAACCAGCGAGCTCTTCTTTGACTCCACAGGTGAGAACCAGGGAGCTCTTCCTGGACCCCAGAAGTGAGAACCAGGGAGCTCTTCCTGGACTCCACAGGTGAGAACCAAGGAGCTCTTCTTGGACCCCACAGGTGAGAACCAGGGAGCTCTTCCTGGACCCCACAGGTGAGAACCAGGGAGCAGGAAAATAAAGTAGAATACCAGCACAGTACTCCCAGAGATGGAATGGTCCTCATCAGGATCCTCCAATTCATTCATGTTTTACCTAATTGTCGGATGAGTAATTGTGCTGACTGATACGTTTTCCATACTTATCAGGTAAATTATCACCAGAGTTTGGCATTTTTATTCATAGCTAATTAATGTGAGTAATCATCACACCATTATGGTTAATCTAATTAGTACCCCAAATTAATGACAGAAACGTCTGTACCAATTCAATTCCCGTACATTTATAATTTGGTGTATACTGAAATAGGCTGAATCTCAAACTGGAACACTTTGATCACTCGATATGCATGTTCACGAGTCAATCTCAAACACTAGTTGTAGAGTCATTGAGGACTCCACTGCGTCCTTCAGAGGCCTCTTTGTCGAGTGGGCATCCTGTGCCGACTCCTTGCCCTTAGCAGCAAGTTCTTCCCATGAATCTCAGCGTGTTACCAAGCAACAACATAGTTACTACAACTTTGCCCTAAAAAATAGAATAAATGAAAATAAATCCGAAATTTATTTAGACGTTTTGGCCGAGGAGGTCTTAGTCGCGCAATTGTACATCAAGCTAAGGAGTTTAGTGCTTAAAGAAGTTGTATTTCTGAAGTTTCATAATGCGCATGAAAACCTGTCCAGCATTATCTTGCTAGCTCTAAGCCTGAGCCAGTCATTTATATGAAGCAAAAGAGATAACCAAACAGCTAATGCAACACTAAATGCAATGCTCCTTCCATAAGCAATTTTTTGTTGTTGTGTTTTACCCCCTTTTTCTCCCCAATTTTGAACTTGTCTCAACGCTGCAACTCCCCAACGGGCTCGGGAGAGTCGAAGGTTGAGTCATGCGTTCTCCGAAACATGACCCGCCAAACCGTGCTTTTTAACATCCGCCCGCTTAACCCGGTAGCACCAATGTGTCGGAGGAAACACCGTTCAACTGATGACCGAAGTCAGCCTGCAGGCGCCCGGCCCGCCACAAGGAGTTGCTAGAGCGCGATTAGCCAAGTAAAGCCCCGCCGGCCAAACCCTCCCCTAACCTGGACGACGCTGGGCCAATTGTGCGCCGCCCTATGGGACTCCCGGTCACTGCCGGTTGTGACAACCTGGGATTGAACCCGGGTCTGTAGTGACGCCTCAAGCACTGCGATGCGGTGCCTTAGACCGCTGCGCCAATCAGGAGGCCTCAACAAGTTTCTTATTAATGAAGCAGCTGTCTGTTCTGAGTCAGTGCAGTATCAAGCCAGCTGCTGATGCACTTAGCTGAGGCCACCCAAAGTTACAACGTAGTGAAACTGAAATACGGACTGACTGCTGCAAAATAGTTTACGGCGGCAATAAACCACTGATAATATATGTGTTACTGATTATTCCATAGTATTACATCAGTCATTACACAGTTCAAACACTGCTCTCTCCTCTCCTCCCCTGCAGGGTCCTACCTGGTGATCTCTCAGTACCAGATCTAACACTGCTCTCCCCTCTCCTACCCTGCAGGGTCCCCACCTGGTGATCTCTCAGTACCAGATCTAACACTGCTCTCCCCCTCTCCTCCCCTGCAGGGTCCCACTGGTGATCTCTCAGTACCAGATCTAACAACTGCTCTCCCCTCTCCTCCCATGCAGGGTCCCCACTGGTGATCTCTCAGTACACAGATCTAACACCTGCTCTCCCCTCCCTCCCCTGCAGGGTCCCACCTGGTGATCTCTCAGTACCAGATCTAACACTGCCTCCCCCTCTCCTCCCCTGCAGGGTCCCACCTGGTGATTTCTCTCAGTACCAGTGAGTGTCTGTATCTGAACAGGAACACCCAGAAGGTGAGGTCTCTGTCCCGCTGGAGAGGACACCTCATAGAGAGTCTAGGCTGGAACAAGCTACTGGGGACCGAGACCAACACTGGGCCCATCCTAGTGGGAACCAGCCAGGGAATCATCTTCGAGGCTGAGATCTCTGCTTCAGAGGGAAGCCTGTTTAACACCAACCCTGACCAGTACTTCAAACAGGTGAGAACACACACACACACACACACACACACACACACACACACACACACACACACAGTAGCTACTTCAAACAGGTCAGTGATGGGATATGAAAATAAACATGAGTGACAAAATACAGCATCGCCCCAAGATAATGTTTTTTAGCTTGAACCCATGGAAAGCCATGCTAATCAAACCTCTTTGACATTCAAACTAATTAATCAATGCTGATTTAGTTACACTCCTTCATGTGAACTTATCCGCAGGCAGCAAGCTTTTGTTAACAGCTTTTTATTACTGTATTTGATGTAGCATTTAGAAAATATGTTTGCAAAACTAGTCCTTATTATAATGAGTCATGTATGTGATTGAAACACAGGTCCATTCCCTGGAGGAGGATGGGAAGCCAGCTCCAGTATGCTGTATGGAGGTGGAGCGAGGTCTGGAGTCTAAAGTCTTCATCATCGCCACCACCAGGAAGCGCCTGTTCCAGTTCGTAGGTCGCGTGGCAGAGGGGGTCAGAGCAGCAAGGCTTCAGCTCCATCTTCTCACAGAACCAGGTCTGTTACAGCAGCTTCATTAGACAACAGGGCTTGTAGCCCAAATGGCAACCTATTCACTATATAGTGCACTACTTTTGGTCAGAGCCTAAAGTAGTGCACTTGATAGGAAATAGATGTGAATATGGCTCCATTTCGGACGCAAACCAGATAAATGACTATTTCACTTCATACTATACCTGTCCATTTACACTTTATGCACTTTTCTCACTTCTCTAATCACCTCTAGCCACTATGCCATTTATTGTTATAACTTGTTTTATAAACTGGGTGGTTCGAGCCCTGAATGCTGATTGGCTGACAGGCGTGGTATATCAGACCTTATACCATGGGTATGACAAAATATTTATTTTTTTACTGCGCTAATTACATTGGTAACCAGTTTATAATAGTGTAAAATGTAAAAAAAATGATAATAGCAATAAGGCACCTCGGGGGTTTGTGGTATATGTCCAATATACCATGGCTAAGGGCTGTGTCCAGGAACTCCGCGTTGCGTCGTGCATAGGAACAGCCCTTAGCCGTGGTATATTGTCCATATACCACAGAGTGGTCTGGCCTTATTGCTTAAATATAAAGCTGATGCCCAGTTTCCAGAAGTATAATGAGTTATCATTTGTTATAAGCATGTATAAGCCGTTATAATGTCTTATAACAATGCTTATAAGAGGTTATGCCTTTATTACTACTAGGAGCTGCTGCCCAGCTTCCAGGAGTTTCCCTTTAACATGGGCTACAGTGAGATCACCTTCTACACTTCCAAGCTCAGGTCCTGCCCCAAGGCCTTCGCATGGATGATGGGTAATGGAGTTCTCTACGGTCAGCTGGACTACGTCAGGCTGGACTCACTGCTCAGTGATGTGCAGGTACTGTTTTCTATACTATTATAAAGTACTTTATATTTAGGATAGTATACTTTCAGGTTTGATGTGCTGTAGAAGTAAGATCCCCACAGGTGATGTGTGTGTTCTGAAGGTCTATTAAATACATTTTTTCATTGGTCTTTCAAAATCAATTATATTGTACTCTTGAAATTCATATTGCTGATTTAACAAAAAAACAATAATACTTTCTTTCTCTCTCCATCAGGTGTGGGATTACACCCCAGACATAGACTTTAGTTTCAACAAGCCCATCTCCATCGTGTTGACTCAGTTCCACTTTCTACTCCTCCTCCCTGACCGCGTCAAGGCCATCTGCACCCTCAACGGACAGGTGGGCCTCTGACTCTGCTGCTGCGTAGGCCAGGTTACTGTAAAAGGTGTAGGCCAGGTTACTGTAAAAGGTGTAGGCCAGGTTACTGTAAAAGGTGTAGGCCAGGTTACTGTAAAAGGTGTAGGCCAGGTTACTGTAAAAGGTGTAGGCCAGGTTACTGTAAAAGGTGTAGGCCAGGTTTACTGTAAAAGGTGTGGCCAGGTTACTGTAAAAGTAAAAGGTGTAGACCAGGTTACTGTAAAAGGTGTAGGCCAGGTTACTGTAAAAGGTGTAGGCCAGGGTTACTGTAAAAGGTGTAGGCCAGGTTACTGTAAAAGGTGTAGGCCAGGTTACTGTAAAAGGTGTAGGCCAGGTTTACTGTAAAAGGTGTAGGCCAGGTTACTGTAAAAGGTGTAGGCCAGGTTACTGTAAAAGTGTAGGCCAGTTTACTGTAAAAGGTGTAGGCCAGGTTACTGTAAAGGTGTAGGCCAGGTTTACTGTAAAAGGTGTAGGCCAGGTTACTGTAAAAGGTGTTGGCCAGGTTACTGTAAAAGGTGTAGGCCAGGTTACTGTAAAAGGTGTAGGCCAGGTTACTGTAGGACAGGTTACTTTAAAAGGGGTGTAGGCCAGGTTACTGTAAAAGGTGTATGCCAGGTTACTGTAAAAGCACTTTGTGACAACTGCTGATGTAAAAAATAGTGCACTATTTTTGATGAGAGCTCTGGTCAAAAGTAGTGCACTATGAAGTAGTGCACTACTATGAACTGTTCAACGTTGGTCTGACCAATCGGAATCTAGGGTTCAAGATTGTTTTGATCACAAGGACTGGGATATGTTCCGGGTTGCCTCTGTGAATAGTATTGACGTATGCATAGAGAATGTTGTTCCCACTGTGAAGATTAGAACTTATCCAAACCAAAAACCGTGGACAGATGGCAGTATTAGAGCAAAACTGAAAGCGCGAACCACAGCATTTAACCACGGCAGGGTGACTGGGAACATGGACATGTACAACCAGACCAGCTATGACCTCCGTAAGGCAATCGGAGGCAAAACGACCGTTCAGAAAAGTGGAGTCGCAATTCACCAGCTCAGACACGAGACGTTTGTGGCAGAGACTCCAGACCAATGTTCCCTCTAAGCTGCGGGCATGCACAGCTCCCATCGGACTGCCGTGCAGAAGAAATATCAGCCCGTGCAGAGAAGCACGAGATTGAACTTCACTCAACTTTCTAGAGTTTTCCCCTTTAGTTAAACACTATCAACGTTTCTCTCTACTGTGGGGATTGTGCTCGAATCAACGCAATATTAGCCACTTTCAATGTAACATACCGAAACAAAATAAACTATGCAAGACTTAAGTATGCAAAGCTAACTGTGCAAGAGATTTTCTTGTAGGCAGAGCGCATTGGAGTAGGATTCTATTGCAATGACAGACACGACTCAGGCCCATACTGTACACAGACCGTTGCGCCATAACCAATCAGAGCTGCAGTAGGACTATATGCAAATAGCCATTGCCATATATGGATCTGTTCGATTTACTTTGAACTGGACTGTGTTTACAGCATGAGCAGTCGCAAGTAGATGCACTTGTTTTTAGATCAAAGCGATAGCTGCATGTAACCACCTGTGCACATTTGTTCATATCCTTTGCTAGTTAGTGAGTTATTAGCCCAGTTATAGATCATTTCTAGTCAACAATGGGGGAGTGGTTACTTCCTACAAGAGCACAAAATGTGTGCATTTCTAGATATCTTTGAAAAAGCAAGTCGGGTAAAGAGCTTTTTTTTTATGTCTTAAAGGGGCATTGTTGTATTTTGAGACGGTCTTGAAGAAGCTAAGTAGCCAATAGGCAGAGGGTAGCATAATTTGTCTGATTCTCTGTAATAATGGTATGAGAATAATAATAATTTTTATTTTGTAAAGTGGGTTCTTGCATCAAACAACACAACATTTTCAGTCACCTCCTTGTCTGAAGGACAAGTGGATAAACAGGTTAATGTCAAGTCCTGAATGTTGTTTTTCAAAAGTCTCATGGAATGTAGGCCTACATTGAACACCACACATTGGCTGCTACTGTAGGCTGAATGATAGAACTGCTATTTCCATGATAAAACGTTATGGGATGCATTTCTCTCCATTGTTTTTGATTGTAGGCCACTCCAGTAGGCCTACATTATGATCAAATAGCCACAGTAGCCTACTTGGCCACTGTTAAAACTGTAACTTAAAGCAGGTACAACCTGAGTGGGAACGGTCGTTAAGATACTAACAGCTTACAGACGGTAGGCAATTAAGGTCACAGTTATGAAAACTTAGGACACTAAAGAGGCCTTTCTACTGACTCTGAAAAACACCAAAAGAAAGATGCCCAGTGTCCCTGCTCATCTGCGTGGACATGCCTTAGGTATGCTGCAAGGAGGCATGAGGACTGCAGATGTGGCCAGGGCAATAAATTGCAATGTCCGTACTGTGAGACGCCTAAGACAGCGCTACAGGGGGACAGGACGGACAGCTGATCGTCCCCGCAGTGGCAGACCACGTGTAACAAAACCTGCACAGGATCGGTACATCCGAACATCACACCTGCGGGACAGATACAGGATGGCAACAACAACTGCCCGAGTTACACCAGGAACGCACAATCCCTCCATCAGTGCTCAGACCGTCCGCAATAGGCTGAGAGAGGCTGGACTGAGGGTTTGTAGGCCTGTTGTAAGGCAGGTCCTCACCAGACATCACCGGCAACAACGTCGCTTATGGACCCAAACCCACCGTCGCTGGACCAGACAGGACTGGCAAAAAGTGCTCTTCACTGACGAGTCGTGGTTTTGTCTCCCTTGGGGTGATGGTCGGATTTGCGTTTATCGTCGAAGGAATGAGCGTTACACCGAGGCCTGTACTCTGGAGCGGGATCGATTTGGAGGTGGAGGGTCCGTCATGGTCTGGGGCGGTGTGTCACAGCATCATCGGACTGAGCTTGTTGTCATTGCAGGCAATCTCAACGATGTGCATTACAGGGAAGACATCCTCCTCCCTCATGTGGTACCCTTCCTGCAGGCTCATCCTGACATGACCCTCCAGCATGACAATGCCACCAGCCATACTGCTCATTCTGCACGTGATTTCATGCAAGACAGGAATGTCAGTGTTCTGCCATTGCCAGCGAAGAGCCCGGATCTCAATCGTCCACGTCTGGGACCTGTTGGATCGGTGGGTGAGGGCTAGGGCCAGGGCCATTCCCTCCAGAAATGCCTGGGAACTTGCAGGTGCCTTGGTGGAAGAGTAGGGTAACATCTCACAGCAAGAACTGGCAAATCTGGTGCAGTCCATGAGGAGGAGATGCACTGCAGTACTTAATGCAGCTGGTGGACCACACCAGATACTGACTGACTTTTGATTTTGATACCCCCCCCCCATGTTCAGGGACACATTATTCAATTTCTGTTAGTCACATCTCTGTGATTATGTCTCAGTTGTTGAATCTTGTTATGTTCTTACAAATATTTACACATGTTAAGTTTGCTGAAAATCAACACAGTTGACAGTGAGAGGACGTTTCTTTTTTTGCTGAGTTTATATATACACACACACAGTACCAGTCAAAGGTTTGGACACACCTACTCATTCCAGGGTTTTTCTTTATTTTTACTATTTTCTACATTGTAGAATAATAGTGAAGGCATCAAGACTATGAAATAACACATATGGAGTAATGTAGTAACCAACAAAGTGTTATATTTGAGATTTTTCAAAGTAGCCACCCTTTGCCTTGATGACAGCTTTGCACACTCTTCACGAGATGCACACTCTTCCAGCTTCATGAGATTGTCACCTGGAATGCATTTCAATTAACAGGTGTGCCTTGTTAAAAGTTAATTTGTGGACTTTCTTTCCTTCTTAATGCATTTGAGCCAATCAGTTGTGTTGTGACAAGGTAGGGGTGGTATACAGAAGAAAGCCCTATTTGGTGAAAGACCAAGTCCATATTATGGCAAGAACAGCTCAAATAAGCAAAGAGAAACGACAGTCCATCATTACTTTAAGACATGAAGGTCAGTCAATCCAGAACATTTCCACGAACTTTGAACGTTTCTTCAAGTGCAGTCGCAAAAACCATCAAGCGCTATGATTGAAACTGGCTCTCATGAGGACCGCCACAGGAAAGGAAGACCCAGAGTTACCTCTGCTGCAGAGGATACATTCATTAGAGTTAACTGCACCTCAGATAGCAGCCCAAATATATGCTTCACAGAGTTCAATAATAATAATAATAATAATAATAATAATATGCCATTTAGCAGACGCTTTTATCCAAAGCGACTTAGTCATGCGTGCATACATTATTATTTTTTTGTGTATGGGTGGTCCCGGGGATCGAACCCACTACCTTGGCGTTACAAGCGCCGTGCTCTTACCAGCTGAGCTACAGAGGACCACTCAGTTGACTCCTGAGTGGCGCAGTGGTCTAAGGCACTGCATCGCAGTGCTAACTGTGCCACTAGAGATCCTGGTTCGAATCCAGGCTCTGTCGCAGCCGGCGTGTGGCGCGGCGTTGTGCGCCGCCCATGAGTCTCCCGGTCGCAACCGACACATCTCAACATCAACTATTCAGAGACTGTGTAAATCAGGCCTTCATGGTCGAATTGCTGCAAGGAAACCACTACTAAAGGACACCAATAAGAAGAAGAGACTTGCTTGGTCCAAGAAACACGAGCAATGGACATTAGACCGGTGGAAATCTGTCCTTTTGGTCTTATTAGTCTAAATTTGAGATTTCTGGTTCCAACTGCCGTGTCTTTGTGAGACGCAGAGTAGGTGAACGGATGATCTCCGCATGTGTGGTTCCCACTGTGAAGCATGGAGGAGGAGGTGTGATGGTGTGGGGGTGCTTTGCTGGTGACACTGTCTGTGATGATTTATTTCGAATTCAAGGCACACTTAACCAGCATGGCTACCACAGCATTCTGCAGCGATACGCCATCCCATCTGGTTTGCGCTTAGTGGGACTATAATTTGTTTTTCAACAGGACAATAACCCAAAACACACCAGGCTGTGTAAGGGCTATTTGACCAAGGAGAGTGATGGAGTGCTGCATCAGATGACCTGGCCTCCACAATCCCCCGACCTCAACCCAATTGAGATGGTTTGGGATGAGTTGGACCGCAGAGTGAAGGAAAAGCAGCCAACAAGTGCTCAGCATATGTGGGAGCTCCTTCAAGACTGTTGGAAAAGCATTCCTCATGAAGCTGGTTGAGAGAATGCCAAGAGTGTGCAAAGCTATCATCAAGACAAAGGGTGGATACATTGAAGAATCTCAAATATAAAATATTTTGATTTGTTTAACACTTTTTTGGTTACTACATGATTCCATATGTGTTATTTCATAGTTTTGATGTCTTCACTATTATTCTACAATGTAGAAAATAGTAAAAATAAAGAGAAACCCTTCAATAAGTAAGTGTGTCCAAACTTTTGACTGGTACTGTATATATTCCAGACTCTGACATTTGCTCGTTCTGATATTTCTTGATTTCTTTCTTTTTTTTAAATATTTTTTGGACTTGTGTGTATTGTTTGTCATTACTGCATTATTGGAGCTAGAAACATAAGTATGTCACTGCACCTGTGATAACATATGACCAATGAAATGTTATTTGATTTAGTGCACTGCTTTTGACTAGGGCCCCCTTTATGAATATATTTAAATTGATTGATTGACAGGTGGTGTACGAGGACGTTTTCCCTGATAAGTTTGGCACCCTGAAGAAAATGATCAAAGATCCTGCAGGAGGCCTGGTGTGGATTTACACTGAGAAGGCTGTCTTTAGGTATGTTTACATTCCATTTTATATTTTAGTCATTTAACAGACACTCCTGCCCAGAGAGACTTACAATTAGTGCATTCAACTAAGATCGGCAAAACAACCGCATATCACGGCCATATCACTGTCATTGCTTGTCCATATATGTATATGCTCTTAAATTCCATTCCTTACTAGATTTGTGTGTGTTGGGTATATGTTGTGAAATTGTTAGATATTACTTGTTAGATATTACTGCACTGTCGGAGCTAGAAGCACAAGCATTTCGCTACACCCGCTATAACAGGAGGAGCACTGCCAGAGCCCTGCAAAATGACCTCCAGCAGGCCACAAATGTGCATGTGTCTGCTCAAATGGTCAGAAACAGACTCCATGAGGGTGATATGAGGGCCCGACGTCCACAGGTGGGGGTTGTGCTTACAGCCCAACACTGTGCAGGACGTTTGGCATTTGCCAGAGAACACCAAGATTGGCAAATTCGCCACTGGCGCCCTGTGCTCTTCACAGATGAAAGCAGGTTCACACTGAGCACATGTGACAGACGTGACAGAGTCTGGAGATGCCGTGGAGAACGTTCTGCTGCCTGCAACATCCTCCAGCATGACCGGTTTGGCGGTGGGTCAGTCATGGTGTGGGGTGGCATTTCTTTGGGGGGCCGCACAGCCCTCCATGTGCTCGCCAGAGGTAGCCTGACTGCCATTAGGTACCGAGATGAGATCCTCAGACCCCTTGTGAGACCATATGCTGGTGCGGTTGGCCCTGGGTTCCTCCTAATGCAAGACAATGCTAGACCTCATGTGGCTGGAGTGTGTCAGCAGTTCCTGCAAGAGGAAGGCATTGATGCTATGGACTGGCCCGCCCGTTCCCCAGACCTGAATCCAATTGAGCACATCTGGGACATCATGTCTCGTTCCATCCACCAACGCCACGTTGCACCACAGACTGTCCAGGAGTTGGCGGATGCTTTAGTCCAGGTCTGGGAGGAGATCCCTCAGGAGACCATCCGCCACCTCATCAGGAGCATGCCCAGGCGTTGTAGGGAGGTCATACAGGCACGTGGAGGCCACACACACTACTGAGCCTCATTTTGACTTGTTTTAAGTTGGATCAGCCTGTAGTGTGGTTTTCCACTTTAATTTTGAGGGTGACTCCAAATCCAGACCTCCATGGGTTGATAAATTTGATTTCCATGGATAATTTTTGTGTGATTTTGTTGTCAGCACATTCAACTATGTAAAGAAAAAAGTATTTAATAAGATTATTTCATTCATTCAGATCTAGGATGTGTTGTTTAAGTGTTTCCTTTATTTTTTTGAGCAGTGTATTATAATAATAATAATAATAATAAAAATAATATGCCATTTAGCAGACGCTTTTATCCAAAGCGACTTACAGTCATGTGCGCATACATTTTTACGTATGGGTGGTCCCGGGGATCGAACCCACTACCCTGGCGTTACAAGCTCCATGCTCTACCAATTGAGCTACAGAGGACCACAATACATTCTATTTGATATCACTGCCATTGGCAGTAAATCCTTTACAATAGCCACTATCTGTGGAATCAGGATAGATCAGCCATTGGCAGTTAAACCTTGTTCAGCCACTATCTGTGGAATCAGGCTAGATCTGCCATTGGCAGTTAAACCTTGTTCAGCCACTATCTGTGGAATCAGGCTAGATCTGCCATTGGCAGTTAAACCCTTGTTCAGCCACTATCTGTGGAATCAGACTAGAAAGAAAAGACAAGTAAGCGTGACAAGTACAACAGTATGTTTATTTTTTATTTTTTTCTCTCTCAATCCAGATACCACATCCAGAGAGAAGCCAGGGATGTGTGGCAGATGTACATGAGTATGAACAAGTTTGACCTGGCTAAGGAGTACTGCCGGGACCGGCCAGAGTGCATGGACATGGTTCTGGCTAAAGAGGCAGAGCACTGCTTCCAGAACAAACGCTACCTGGAGAGTGCTAAGTGCTACGCCCTGACCCAGAACTACTTTGAAGAGATTGCTTTGAAGTTTATCGAGGCAAAACAGGACGAGGCTCTGAAAGAGTTCCTGCTGAAGAAACTCAATAATTTAAAACAGGTATGATGTTTCTGTGTTTTTGTGACTAAGTTTATATAATTCAATACCATACAACTTTGTCCATTACAGAGAACAATGGAAGCTTCTGCTCACTTCTCAACCCCCCCCAGATAGTTTGTCTTTTGTGTGGTCTGTTTTCAACTGTGTATTTTTATCATGTCATATTTGAAACCTTTTTCATCATGTTACCCCTGCTTGCAAAGCAACTTTTCTTCTGGGGACAATAAAGATTGATTGATTGATTGATTGATTGATTGAAACAGAGTGAGAAGACCCAGATCACCTTACTGGTCACCTGGCTGACTGAGCTCTATCTGAACCGCCTGGGGCTTCTAGAATCAGATGATGGGAAACATGGGGTGTTCCAGGAGACGCGTGATGAGTTCCGGAAGTTCCTCAGTAGCTCCAAACACAAGGAGTGTCTCTATAACAACCGTACGACCATCTATGACCTGCTGGCTAGCCATGGCAACGTGGACGACATGGTCTACTTCTCTGTCATCATGAAGGTATCTTATGATGCTATTTATCCAGGCTTGGGTTCAAGTCAGAAAGGGATCCACATTTCAATTCCAAAATGTCCTCATTGAAAAGCATTGAAGAGAATCGGAATTTGAATTTGAGTGTACTTCCTGAATTGTCTGGAATTGAAATGGAATTGACCCCAACCCTGCTATTCATTCATGGGATTGTATTGTGGTATTTATAGCTGCTATCTTTTGGTGGTCTCTAATGGTGCGGCATGTTTAGGACACTTTCTATGGCTGATGACTTTATTTTCAGTTTTGTAAAGTATGTATGTTTATGTGCTACTGTTTGACATGACATTTTAATAAAGAATCTATATCTATTTATCTCTCTAGGACTATGAGAGGGTGATCTCCCACCACTGTCAGCATGATGACTATAGCGCCGCCCTGGAGGTGCTCTCTAAGCACTGCGACGAGAAACTCTTCTATAAGTTCTCCCCCGTCCTCATGCAACACATACCTAAGAAGGTGATGCAACGATTTTATCTGCTTGCATTGAAATGTTTTGTTGTTTATTGTTGTCTGTGTTCAAGTACACTGCAATTCTGTTTGAAATGCAATACAATACCATACCATACTTGATTGTCCATTTTCGTAGAAATTCATGGCATGTAAAGTGCCAACGTGTATTTGTGTGAAGGGGAATGAATGAATATACCTCTAATAATCACAAGGTGGTAGATGCCTGGATCCAGATGGGTAGCAGGCTGGAACCTAAGAAACTGATCCCAGCCCTGGTCAACTACAGTCAGATGGGTTCTACACAACAGATCCACGAGACCATCCGCTACATGGAGTTCTGCGTCTACCAGCTCACGGTGACAGAAGAGGCCATACACAACTATCTGCTGTCCCTCTACGCCAAGTACAAACCTGATAGTCTCCTGTGGTACCTGGAACAGGTAGGTTCAAGGCTGTGTCCGTCCCAAATGGCACCCTATCCCCTATGTAGTACACTACTGTGGACCCATAGAGACGCAGACCAAATGCTAATTATATTATGTACCTTTTTTTTTTTTGTAATGTCATGTTTTCCCTATATTTGCTATTTTATTCTTAATTTACTCTGTGTCCTTGGGTATCTTGATCAAATATACATAAACACATTAATTGTTAATGAATTATTATGAATAAAAAGTGATGTTATTGTTATTATTATTGACAGGCTGGTACCCACGCGTCCGACATCCACTATGACTTAAAGTACACCCTGAGGCTGTGTGCGGAACATGGCTTCCTCCAGGCCTGTGTTCTGGTCTATAAGATCATGGGGCTGTATGAGGAAGCTGTCGATCTGGCTCTACAAGTGAGTATCTTGGCTAGTTTTGATTAATGTTTACATTGGATAAAGTAATCCTTCTACCCCCCCCCCCTTACTCCAACCCACCCCCCTACAAAAACAACATCAAAAATTAAAATAATGAATAAATATATAAAAATAAAAATTAATAAAAAACAAAAAACATTGTAAAGTGGTTATCCCACTGGCCATAAGGTGAATGCACCTATTTGTAAGTCGCTCTGGATAAGAGCGTCTGCTAAATGACTAAAATGTAAATGTTACATTTACATTTTAGTCATTTAGCAAGACGCTCTTATCCAGAGCGACTTACAGTTAGCAATACATTTTTTAATCGAACCCACAACCCTGGCGTTGCAAACGCCATGCTCTACCAACTGAGCTACATCCCCTGCGGCCATTCCCTCCCCTACCCTGGACGACGCTGGGCCAATTGTGTGCCGCCCATGGGTCTCCCGGTCGCGGCCGCTACGACAGAGCCTGGACTAATATGTAGCTAAATGTTGATCATGTGATATTAACGGGATGTTGTAACAGCCACACATGCCAAGATAGAAAGTGGAAGTGCCAATAGTGAGCTACACGGTCATATAGGTTATCTGAAAGTGCTATTGGTCTACGTCAGTATACACCGAGTGGACAAAACATTAGGAACACCTTCCTAATATTGAGTTGCACCCCCTTTTGCCCTCAGAACAGCCTCAATTCATCGAGCAACAGACTCTACAAGGTGTCGAAGGCGTTCCACAGGGATGCTGGCCCATGTTGACTCCAAGCTTCCCACAGTTGTCGTCTCCGAGTGCGCAGTGGTTAAGCATGTGTGCACAGATCGGTTCGAATGGCCTGGACGTCCTTGCCCAGGTGGGTAGGGGAGGGAATGGCGGCAGGGATGTAGCTCTTGATAGCATGCGTTGCACAGGGTGGGTAATCCCACGGGGGGCCATATAAAAAAATATGTATCACTACTTGAAGTCGCTTGGATAAAGCATCTGCTAAACCAGTGGCTGGACGCCTTTGGTGTGCACCATACTACCATACCGGGAAACTGTTCAAAGGCACTACTCATACCCTGTTCAAATATCTGTCTGCCCATTCACCCTCTGAATGGCACACACACACGATCCATGTCTCAATTGTCTCAAGGCTTTAAAATCCTTCTTTAGAGGGCCTCCTGAGAGGCGTCACTACAGACCCGGGTTCGATCCCGAGCTGTATCACTTAGGGCGGCGCACAATTGGCCCAACGTGGTCCGGGTTAGGGTAGGGTTTGACCGGGGGGGGGGGGGGGGGGGGGGGGGGGCTTTACTTGGCTCATCATGCTCTAGAGACTCCTTGTGGCGGGCCGGACACATTGGTGCGGCTGGCTTCCGGGTTAAGTGGGCGGGTGTTAAGAAGCGTGGTTTGGCAAGTCATGTTTCGGAAGACGCATGACTCGACCTTCGCCTCCCGAGCCCGTTGGGGAGTTGCAGCGATGAGACAAGATTGAAATTGGGGAGAAAAAGGGGGTAAAATACATCCTTTAACCGTCTCCTCCCCTTCATCTACACTGATTTGAAGTGGATTTAACAAGTGACATCAATAAGGGATCATATTCCTAATGTAATTGCCACCTTTAGCTGCAATGACTCCAACCAAACACTTCCTGTAGTTGTTGATCAGTCCCTCACGTCGCTGTGGAGGAATTTAGGCCCTCTCTTCCATGCAGAACTGCTTTAACTCGGCGACATTTGTGGGTTTTCGAGCATGAACTGCTCGTTTAAAGTCCTGCCTCATGTCGTCCAATTATTATTTTATTTTTTTTTTCTAAACTCAGGTTCCCTTTATCTAATATTAGGTTTTGGTTGAAGATATGATAACATTCAGTATAAAAAAATATGCAAAAATAGAGAAAATCAGAAAGGTGGCAAATACTTTTTCACAGCACTGTGTTAAAACAGGATCTGAAAGTGGTATTAGTCTACATGAGTAAATGTTAAAACAGGATCTGAAAGTGGTATTAGTCTACATCAGTAAATGTTAAAACAGGATCTGAAAGTGCATCTATCAAGCGTGCATGTTGTTATTTTGGCTACGCACAGCACTGGGGGGGGGGAGCTTTCCTAAACCAGCTGGTGTGTAACTCTTCTCCTGTGCTGTTGAGATGCAAGATACATTTCCCGAAAGGGACACAATAATGAATTATTATTATTATTATTATTATTATTATTATTATTATTCCAGGTGGATGTGGACCTGGCCAAGTCGTGTGCTGACCTGCCTGAGGATGACGAGGAGTTGAGGAAGAAGTTGTGGCTGAAGATCGCCCGTCACGTGGTGCAGGAGGAGAAGGATGTGAAGAAGGCCATGAACTGTCTGTCCAGCTGTAACCTGCTGAAGATAGAAGACATACTGCCTTTCTTCCCAGACTTCGTCACCATAGACCACTTCAAGGTTTACCCTGTTAAAGATAATACATTGGATTTATATAGCATTTTTCTTAAGCCCAAAGACACTTCTACACACAATTTTTACATTTTAGTCATTTAGCAGACACTCTTATCCAGAGCGATATACAGTTAGTGAGTGCATACATTTTTCATACTGGCCCCCCCCATGGGAATCGAACACACAACCCTGGCGTTGCAAGCGCCATGCTCTACCAACTGAACTACTGGGGACTAAGTACATAGAGAAGTAATCAGACCTTTGTCTTTTATACTATGTAGGTTATATTCTACAAAGTTCAGTGTTTGAGGTGCGCTTCATTTACCTTGGATCTTGTACTTTTGTGACTATTCCATTGGTTTCGTTGTACCAGGCAAATCCAAACATATCGCAAGCATATGTGTATATATTGTGTGTATGACGTGTTGGAACCAAATTAATTTCCCCATGTAGGATAATGAAGTTGACAAAAACGATATCCCTCCCTCCCTCCCTCCCTCCCTCCCTCTCTCCCTCCCTCCCCCCCTCCCTCCCTCCCTCCCCCCTCCCTCCCTCCCTCCCTCCCTCCCCCCCTCCCTCCCTCCCTCCCTCCCTCCCTCCCCCCTGCAGGAGGCGATCTGCAGCTCTTTAGAGGAGTACAACCAGCACATAGACGAGCTGAAGCAGGAGATGGAGGAGGCGACGGAGAGCGCCAAGCGGATCAGAGAGGACATCCAGGAGATGAGGAACAAGTACGGGGTGGTGGAGAGCCAGGAGAAATGCGCTGCCTGCGACTTCCCCCTCCTCAACAGACCCTTCTACCTGTTCCTGTGTGGTCACATGTTCCACTACGACTGCCTCTTCCTGGAGGTCAGTGTGCAAACCGTTTTTATTTGACCCTTGAAGCTATTTCAAGAACGGTTGTCTAACGATATATACCAGGAGGTCATACCAGTAGGTCAGTAGCACACCATTTTTACCTTGACCTTTGACCCTATTTCATGAAGAGTTGGCTAACAATGTAACAATGCAAACAGAGACATCGGGTCATTACTACATACATTTGTTAATGATGTACACTACATACAGAAGGAAAATAGCTTGGAGGGGTATATCCCAAAAACATTATCATAAGAACCAGATATGTCTCATTATAATCACAACTAATATGTCATTTCTTTCAGGAGATTCAATAGTTCAATAACCTATTTATTATTCACTACCATATATGGACCTCACATACTGTAACGGTGTATCTTTCCTCAGGTGAGCCCTCACCTGTCCACTTACAAGCAGACTAAACTAGGTGAGCTGCAGAAGAAGCTGGCCGCAGCCACTCAGGCCTCCAAGTCTCGCCACCGCCCCTCCCCCAAGGAGAAGGAGAAGGAGGAGGGGAACGACACTGCCAGCCTGGGCAAAGGAAGCGCCGGGGTCAGCCGCGAGCAGATCAAGTCTGACATCGATGACATCATCGCGTGTGAATGTGTGTACTGCGGCGAGCTGATGATCAAGTCGATCGACAAGCCGTTTATTGATCCACAGAAGTTAGAGGAGGAGAAGTCCAGCTGGCTCTGAGTGAAATGGTTGGCAGCTTGGCACTGAAACTGGATGGGTCTGAAATGGCAGATTTGAGGTGGCTCGCTGAAATGAACTAGGTCTGAAATGGACTGCCTGATATGAGCGGGGAAAATTAGACTGAAAAAGGTCTGAAATTAGTGAAATGGGCTTTAGCTGTCTGAACCTATGAGAGCTGAAATAGATTTGTCTATTTTCAGAAATAGCTGAAATGATGACTGAAATGTGCAGCATGTGTTGTCTGAAATGGAAACGACCAGTGTGTAGATTGCTGTGTGTGTACTATAGGCCAGGAAACAGCTGTTATTCTCTGTGATAATGGGACGTATCGCCACAGCTGCACAGTGCCTGGTGATGGGTACTCACAGGAGTGGGGAAGAATGCAGGCGCTCCTATATAAGCTCTTCTCCCCTAATCGTAACATGATATATTCTACAGTCTCTCTCTCTCTCATTTCTCTGCGAAGCTTTTAAAAAAACTGCTCTGAGCTATGTCAGTCACACACACAGCTTTATTACGCATTACAAGATCGGTTCACTATCTTTACACCCGTCTGTTTAAATTAACAATTAACTTGTGACATTTCCTCTGAAATTGAATGCATATTTATAAATATCAACTGGTATTAGTTAGCTCCACTGGCTAGTGACATGAATAGTACTATGAAATGTATGTAAAGAACTACAGTTTTTGTTATTAGTGTCACTTACTGCATCATGATAACTTTCTTCACCCCTGTTATATTGGCTAACAGTTTATTCTGTTGTGACACCCTCTGAGATCAGGTCAATGTGACCCCACTTTGCTATGGTTTGCAAAATGCACCTATGAAAATTAAACAAATATTTTATTCTGTTTTTGGAATTGTTATATTTCAAGTGTTTTGAATGTTGTTATGAATTCCTCTGATGGAATGAGTCTTTGAATCTGAAAGCCAGGCTGGTGAATATGAAAATACAAAGTAATGGTGGTCAAGACACCTGTATGATTTTATTCTGGGTTAGGGGATTGAGTGACATGCCTTCCTCTCATAAATATGCATAAACTGACAAGGACCGGGAAATGGCCAAGTGGTTCAGTGTTTACATTGTCATCAATGCAAGGGAGACTGAGATTGAAAGTGAACGTGAAGGTTGTTTGGGATAAAGTAAAACATTTTATGCAGATCTTATGCTTCTTAAGGAGGACCAGGATCGGGTACATATTGATGATGTTCTAACTTCCAAACAGTTATATTTTAACACTTATGTATTGTTTGCCATTTATAGCTCATATCAAAGCAGTCATAAAATCCACACAATTCTCCGGAAAATGTAACAGGCTCGTGATACTCGTAACGACTTTCCCCTGTGAGTGACGTAACATGTAGCTCGGTAATCTTCGGGATTAGCAGACTCCACCAATCGAGTTCGGATCGCAAACTATAATATCGCATAAATCATATGAACTAATACTTATGGGCAACTCTCGCCACAATTGACTCTAAAATACTTGTTACAATGTTTCTGTAGCTAAATTTCCGCAGCAGTTCCTTTAGAAGAGCAGATACGAAATCGTCACTCTCTCTGCATTTGATTAGTATGCCTGTTCCCTGCTCTATCCTCGCCATGGCGCCGTGTCCCTGCTCCCTCAGTTACAGAAAGTGGCCGCCTCTCTGCTGCTGTCGACCCAAAGCTCATAGACTCACTCGTTGCCTAGACCCGCCATCTTGGAGTCAGAGAACTGAGAGTCGGCAGCAGCTACGAGAGAGCGCAAAAGGGGGACACGGGGCCAAGGTGAGAAAGTGTTTTGGAGGTAATGTGGTGAGGGAGCTATGGGGTAAGATGGCCGGGAGGGAGAAAGAATTAGATCGCGGGGATCCGAAAACAGAGGCTTCTGAGACGACCCTCGTGCCTATTCAAGGGGACGGAGAGGTGCTGGAAAGATTCCTAGGCCTCGCTGTAACAAGCCAAAGTTGCTTTCCCCGAAAATGAATTGTATTACTAAAATACTCATATGTCCAGGGAAGGTGGTAGCCTTAAAGGGGCAGAACCCATTTGAATAACTCAAGAGTGAGTGGGAACTTCATACCTAATTAATTCCAATGACCATAAACGCACCAAGATTGACAGTTAGCCATTCAAATGTAACAAAGGCCGGGTTTCCAGACAATCAAAAATGTCAAAGTTAGCCTGCTCTTTGAATAGGAATTCGGCTGGCCAATGCCTATTCTAACCACAACATGTTACCTTGCTAACGTAGCTGCATACCTTGACCCTTGATATACATGTCTATCGTGTGTTGTGTAGGTAGCTAGCTAACGTTAGCCAGCATGCTAGCTTGTCATACAAGGTTAGCTGGCCCGAGCTAATGCTAAGAGCTAACAGGCTAAGGTTAGTAAGCTAAATAACGGTAGTATCGCACTTGCAGGCTAAACGTTCATTTAGCATTAGCTAGCCAGCTAATTCACCGTTCAGTTCGACAGCTAGCTAGCTAGCTAGCTAATTTAGCTGAACATTCATCAGTTGTGCTTTGCTCTGAGTGTTAACTGGCAGGCTAGCTACATTGTAGTACAGTGGCTTGATTCCCTTTGCAGACACCTGCTCTCATTATCACTCAATCCTCTCTATGATTGAACCATTAAGTAAAGCTATAATAACCCACATTTTCCCACACCTGCAATAGACATACAAAGGATCCACCTGAATAAAACATGAATAATCTGTTATATAAGTTACCTAAATGTCTAATTCTCCCTACAGGGTAGTGAGAATCAAAGTATTTACATCCAGATAGAGATGTTATGTGGCATGAACCTCTTACTCCTGTGGGGATTTGTGGACACAATTTCAAACTAGTTGTGACCATTTAATGAGTCCATAGGTCAGGTTAGTTCAGGGTTGGGGTCAAAGAGCACCCCAAAGTCCCTTCCCCAAGCTCAGACTTAGGGTCTTGAAACATTAAAAACAAAACATGCCTATAACTTGAACATATTTAGACTCAATTTCCTCCTATATGGACTGTTCAACAAATCTAATCAGTTCAACATAAGCTCTTTCAATCTGGTACATGAAAGTGCTTGAAGGTCCACAGTGGGAATACGTTGATTAGTTGATTTTGACAGCTTTGATTGGTGTTCTGCAGTGTGTGACTTGTGGATCTTTCTCTCAGTTTCAGGCCTTTTCACATCTTCTGAACTGACAGTTGTGATTGGAGATAATGAGATAATCCATATCCCACATTAGAAAGGTACCATTGTCTTGTTAATTTCTGCACAAACATAATGTCAGTGTTATGTTGCATGCAAAGACTAGCTGTTAGGAGACGACATGGAGGTCCTGACTGCAAAACACAATACAATAATCTTTAGCTCTAATATTACAACTTCCGCTCTACCCCATGTTGTTTCTCTCTGTCTTCTCACTCTCTCTCCATCTAAACCCCTACCTCTCTTTTCTCCCTCTTCCTCTCCCCCCCTCTCTCCCCCTTTCTCTTTTTTGTCCTCCTCTCTCTCCCTCTCTCCCTCTCTCCCATCCTCTCCCCACCCTCTCTCCCCCTTTCTCTTTTTTGTCCTCCTCTCTCCCCCTCTCTCCCCTCTCTCCCTCCTCCTCCTCCTCTCTCCCCTCCTCTCCTCCTCTCTCCACCCTCTCTCTCTCCCAGTGAGTATCCCTGCCCAATAGGACCTAAAGGTCTCAGTCCTCCATGGCGTCTGGGGCTGGGCAGGCAGAGGCCGACGATGGGGCAGCATGGTCGTCATCAGGCCTGGCCAAGCCTCTTCACTCCAGCACCTGGAGAGATCCCTACGCCTTGACAGCTTCCTCCGCCAGACCGCCTCGTCTTCACAGGACTATCCGGTAAAGGACTTATAGCCCCATGGTGTCATATACCCACAAACAGCGGAACAGGGACATAGTTCCATGTTTTCCACATTCCTTTTTCCACATGGGATTTAGAACATTAACTAAGGGCTGTTCTTCTGCCTAACCCGCCTGGTCTTGCAAACAGTAACATCTCTCTAAGTAAGTTATCAGTTATAGGCCCCCTATGGGAAATGAATGGTCGAAAATATTGGCAATTCCGGCTGTACCCTGTAATAGGGGATTTTAGTGGGTGGCGTCTTTTCCCTGTAAATGATAACATGTAAATCTCTCTAATTAGTTTATCAATATATTCGGCTCCCCTATGGGAAAAATGAATGGTAGAAAAATGATTGGAACCATTTCCCTGCTTGACCGCTAGGTATTATGGGTATTATGACTCATGTGTGTACTCTATTTACAATGTAATAAACAGAACAGCTAGTAATTCAGTGTATCATTAGCAGCAGCTGTAATTCTCCATATTCCTTTAGCAGAGCAATAGGGTTAGTGCCTGCTCAAGGGCACCTCGACGATTTCCACCTAGTCGGCTGCGGGGATTAGAACCAGCGACCTTTCGGTTACTGACACAACGCTCTTAACCACTAAGCTACCTGCCGCCCCGAGATGCGCTTGGATACTCACTGCGTGCAGTTTGAAGGTATACTGAAAAAATTAATTAAATGCAAACATTTAAAAGATTTGACTGAGTTACAGTTCATAGAAAGAAATCAGTCAATTGAAATAAATAAATGAGGCCCTATTTATGGATTTCACATGACTGGGCAGGGGCGCAGCCTTGGGAGGACCTGGGAGGGCATAGGCCCACCCACTGGGGAGCCAGGCCCAGCCAATCAGAATGAGTTTTTCCCCACAAAATGGCTTTATTACAGACAGAAATACTCCTCAGAACCACCCCCCTCCTCAGACGATCCCGCAGGTGAAGAAGCCGGATGTGGAGGTCCTGGGCTGGTGTGGTTACACGTGGTCTACGGTTGTGAGGCCGGTTAGACGTACTGCCAATTCTCTAAAACGATGTTGGCTTATGGTAGAGAAATGACAATTCAATTATCTGGCAACAGCTCTGGTGGACATTCCTGCAGTCAGCATGCCAATTGCGTGCTCCCTCAACTTGAGACATCTGTGACAAAACTGCACATTTTAGTGGCCTTTTATTGTCCCCAGCACAAGGTGCACCTGTGTAAGGATCATGCTGTTTAATCAGCTTCTTGATATGCCACACCTCTGTTAGGTGGATGGATTATCTTGGCATGGAGAAATGCTCACTAACAGGGATGTAAAACAATTTGTGCACAACATTTGAGATAAATAAGCTTTTTGTGCATCTGGAAAAATTATGTGATCTTTTATTTCAGCTCATGAAATATGGGACCAACACTTTACATGTTGCGATTATATATTTTGTTCAATATAGTTTTGTGAGCCATTAGCTGTTCCCATAGACTTCCAATTATTGTGCTAACGCTAGTTAGCAATTGCACTAATGCTAGTTAGCAACTTTCTTCAAACTGAACACAGAGACATAAATGGTATCCATGAGTTCATCTGACTCTTAAAACTGCATTATGTAACTTTTTGGGGCGAGCCGACTAAATTCACATAGAAATGTTTGTTCTAGAGCTGTCATTATCATTGAAAGCAAGTCTAAGAAGCGGTAGATCTGTTCTATGTGCACTATTTCTATGCTTCCCGTAATGTTTTGTTTTTGCGTTTCTTTTACTTTCGGTTATGTATACCAGCTTCAAACAGCTGAAAAGACAATATTGTTGGTTATGGAAAATATATTTCACATAGGTTTAGATGGTACATTGATTCTCTACACCCATCAAACTCAGCGCTGGACCTCGAAGCCAGTTCCACTGCATTTTTTCACTGTTCCCCTCTAATCAGGGACTGATTTAGACCTGGGACACTAGGTGTGTGCAACTAATTATCAGGTAGAACAGAAAACCAGCAGGCTCCGGACCTCGTAGGGCAGGGGTGTCACTCATTCCATGGAGAGCATGGTGTCTGCTGGTTTTTGGTTGACCTGGACAACCAGGTGAGGAGAGTTCCTTACTAATCATTGACCTTAATTCATAAATCAAGTACAAGGGAGGAGTGAAAACGCGCATAGACTCGGCCCTTTGTGGAAAGAGTTTGACACGTGTCGTAGGGCAGGGTTTCCCCAAACTCGGTCCTGGGGGCCCCCCTTGGTGGACGTTTTGTTTTTTGCCCTAGCACTACACAGCTGATTCAAATAACCAACTCATCAAGCTTTGATTATTTGAATCAGCTGATTTAAATGTGCACCCAGGGGGGGCCCAGGCCCCTGCTGTACGCTATACTTGCTTGTTTTGTCACATAAACTGAAATTACTATTAGAATGTTAGCAACCAGGAAATGGCGGTGCGATTTCTGCATAGTGCACCTTTTTAATTGCCAAAATCTTGCACTATCCCTTTAAGATCAGTGACAAGTTACAACTTATACTTGTAGCAAACAGAGTGAGCAGTTGTGCGAATGAGAGCCATGAGCACACAGCCACCATTTGCTCCTTATCAATTAAATAATCGTATATTTCAGTTATATTTCATGAGGTGTCAACATTTATTTAATTTTCATGCATTTTGGAGTAGAATGTCCTTTTTAAAAAAAGTCACCAGAAGTGACCTTCTCACAGTTGTGCTACAACAAAATCCCCCGGGTGGGCATCCCCCCACCCCCTTCCCACTACCTTTACCACCGCTGCTGCTGAAATAAATCCTAGGGGAAACGCTGTGTACAATATGATTACAACACATTACAACAGAGCAGAGAACTATCTAGGAATAATACAATGTCATAAGCCCTGCACCTTCTCCATGTGAGGTTAGTTTTAGTGGCCCTAGGTGTTGATATCTTGGGGCCCTTGCACTCCACTGTGTAATTAATCAAGGGGAAACTCTTGACCAATGATCTAAATTCTATTTGTGGCTATAGGCCAGAAGGTAACGACCGCGTCAGCACCGGGGACCTCTCAGAAGCTTGAAATAGATGTTGTATGTGCATTATGACATGACTGGGATGACTCTGGGCTTATGCGTACATGTTTGTCTCATCACAGTGATGACAGCGACGATGGTGGATTGGGGGAGGGGCCTTCCATGGGCCCGACCAATCAGCACGCAGCCCTGGCGATAAAGGAGGAGTCATGTGACCTGGAGGAGGAGGGGCTTGTTACCGAGGGCAACCCCCTCAACGGAGCTCTATCACAAGGTGAAGGGGAGCTTGGGGAAAGTTCACCCGGAAGGTTCCAATAGGTGCATGCACCTTAAAAGTGGTGACCCTCCCATCTGTTCTATAGATCCTGCTACAGGATATGCTTTAGTAGGGATCTGGATTCCAAGGTGTAATCTCAGATTAATGGGAAAACATTGGCTCCGTACAAGTGCAATATCCTGTTTCAATATCCAATATCTCACCGAGACCTTTATTCAAAGACATTTGTCTTTTACACTTCTCTTACTGTCCTTCTCTCTCCACAGAACACAAGGCAGACAAAGACAGTCTATACAACTTCTCCAAACTGAAGAAGAGCAGGAAATGGCTGAAGGTATTTGCATTGCTTCATGATAGAGTGTGTTAACATTCAGGGCTGGTTTCCCCAAACACAAAGTTTGTGGACCAAAATTATCATGCTTTTTAGTCCAGAACTAGACTTAATCTGTGTCCAGGAAACCGGTCTGTAGTGGTATATAAGGAAATAGGGGATGGATGGTCATGGATGTATCTGAATTGTTCTCCCCATAGAGTATCCTGTTGAGTGATGACACCAGTGAGTCAGACACAGAGGACTCTGACTTCAGTCTGTCCAGAGAAGAGCTACAGGATATGCTCAGACTGCACCAGTTCACCAGAGAGCACCAGAACAAGTTCCACAACGACAGAGAGGTACACACACGTCTAGACACACACACACACGTCTAGACACACACACACACACACGTCAAGACACACACACACACACGTCTAGACATACACACAGGCATGTATCTGTGTTCGTACACAACTGTTATTACTTGATGAATAGCCACATGACCACTACTATAGCCACATGACCACTACTATAGTCACATGACCACTACTATAGCCACATGACTACTACTATAGTCACATGACCACTACTATAGCCACATGACCACTACTATAGTCACATGACCACTACTATAGTCACATGACCACTACTATAGTCACATGACCACTACTATAGCCACATGACCACTACTATAGTCACATGACCACTACTATAGTCACATGACCACTACTATAGTCACATGACCACTACTATAGCCACATGACCACTACTATAGTCCACATGACCACTACTATAGTCACATGACCACTACTATAGTCACATGACCACTACTATAGTCCACATGACCACTACTATAGCCACATGACCACTACTATAGCCACATGACCACTACTATAGCCACATGACCACTACTATAGCCACATGACCACTACTATAGTCACATGACCACTACTATAGCCACATGACCACTACTATAGCCACATGACCACTACTATAGCCACATGACCACTACTATAGCCACATGACCACTACTATAGCCACATGACCACTACTATAGCCACATGACCACTACTATAGCCACATGACCACTACTATAGCCACATGACCACTACTATAGCCACATGACCACTACTATAGCCACATGACCACTACTATAGCCACATGACCACTACTATAGCCACATGACCACTACTATAGCCACATGACCACTACTATAGCCACATGACCACTACTATAGCCACATGACCACTACTATAGTCACATGACCACTACTATAGCCACATGACCACTACTATAGCCACATGACCACTACTATAGCCACATGACCACTACTATAGCCACATGACCACTACTATAGCCACATGACCACTACTATAGCCACATGACCAACACTACCATTGTGCTCATTGTGATAGCATTGACTGAACAACGATAACACTAATAGAGATCTGTTTTGGCATGGACGTTGCCATTGGGGTCATCCACCGTTTTATAGTAGTCAACTGGGTGGGGATTCCAAATAGGTTGGGAGGGATCAGCCAATGATCAGAGCGTTGTCTTCAAATTGGTTTGCTTAGTTTGTAAAGTGGCTTTAGGCTTTATCACCGCCATCTAGTGGCAACAATAAATGAATGACACACAATATGTGGTTCAGGACTCCAGCTCTGCAGGTGGCGGTAAATCACCAATATTAGCGTTACGCTGTTTTCATACATCAAAAGAAGGAGAACATCTACAACTTTAAAATGGCAATACCCTAAATGGCGCTGCCCATGTTGTCACAGGCACCATAATGGCACAGATACAAACTGGAGATCTCTATACATCTCTATGGATGACAGTTTGTAACCTCTTCCCCCCCTCCTCTCCTCAGCTGCAGCAGTATCAGTACTATAGCACAGGACTGCTCTCCTCCCAGGACCCCTTCTATGAACAGCAGCGCCACCTGCTGGGCCCCAAGAAGAAGAAGATCAAGGAGGAGAAGAAATTCAAGGGTAAGAAAAAGTTTAATTGTCTGACATGTCTGTCTTTGCTTTGTTGAATGTGTCTTTTTTTTATGGATGATTGTGCCGCAAACCTATTTTATTTCTAGAGGGAATCATATAGATTTCTAATACTGCTACTAGTGAATAGGTTCGCTTACCTTCATGGAGCATGTTACGTTGGTTTCCAGTCATTGATGTATTCCTCCATATTCCCTCCTCCTCTCAGGCAAGCTAAAGAAAGGGAAGAAGAAGAAGAAGAGGGTAGAGGGGGAGTTCTCAGGCGAGGGGCGGCCGTATGTCACCAAGATCTTCGCCAAGTTTTCCCATGATGCCCCTCTTCCCATGTTGAAGAAGAAGCACCTGACTGTAGAGCAGCTGAACGCACGACGACGAAAAGTCTGGCTCACCATCGCCAAGAAGGAGTGCCCCAAGGTACGCTGGGTAGTGTAGTCCGAGAGGCCTACAAGAGTCAGGATAATAATTGTAGGAGTGGGTGTAGGTCTTTGTAAATCTGTGAGTTGTTGTGAACTGTCCTCAGGGCCCGTATCCATAAAGCATCTCAGAGTAAGAGTGCTGATCTGGGATCAGTTTAGCCTTTTAGATCGTAATGAATGAGATTATATGGACAGATCTTAGATCTCAGCACTTGCTGCTTTGTGGATACTGTGGCCCTGACCTCTGATTTAAAGGATATCTGAGAGGGGCTAAAGTTCATAGTATATCCTATGTAGAGCATGTGAATTGGTACGAAGTAATATATTCATAATTGCGTAATCTTTCTTCAGGCATTCAAGCAAAAAGCATCAGCCAAGAACTTTGTCCTTACCAATGCCAAAAAGGTAAAATGTTTAAGCCTTTCATGACGTATTAAAACCTGTTGTCTGTGTGTATAGTGTGTGTGTGTGTTTGAAAGAGTATCCCTGTGTAAGTCTCTGTTTTTTTACCAGAGACAAATCCTGTATGTGTTTTTTCTATATATGTTACTTCAAACTAAATGTCTGTGTTCTCTCAAGACTAAACTATTTTCTTTGTGTATCTGTTCTCCTCATCTCCAGCTGGTCCACCAGTGTCTCTGATCTAAACTCAGTACTGTGTCATTAATGTGTATCTGTTCTCCTCCTCTCCAGCTGGCTCACCAGTGTATGCGTGAGGTACGTAGGGCAGCCATTCAAGCCCAGAAGAACTGCAAGGAGACCCTTCCCCGGGCCAGGAGACTGACCAAGGAGATGACGCTCTACTGGAAGAAATATGAGAAGGTGGAGAAGGAGCACAGGAAGAGAGCTGAGAAGGAAGCTCTGGAACAACGCAAGCTGGACGAGGAGATGAGAGAGGTCAGACTGGAAAAACACACCGTGCTCTACCACATCAGGACGGGGAGCTACCTTCCTGCAGTATAACGCTCTGATGTAACACGCCTGATTCTACTTGTCACTTGATTAGCTGAATCGGGTGTGTTTATAGTAATGTTGGAGTAAAAGCCTGCACACCCAGAAGCTGGTCACCCCTCCACCGCGTAAAACAAACGTCGAGTGATCTCCCTAAATAAATTCAGATTTAAAAAGGGATCAAAGCGAATGCCAAAACTCACCACAATGTCAAGGATTAACCCTACCTCTCTCTCTCTCTCTCTCTCTCCCTCCCAGGCGAAGCGTCAGCAGCGTAAGCTGAACTTCCTGATCACCCAGACAGAGCTGTATGCCCACTTCATGGGGGGCAAGGGTCCTGGGGAGGACGGAGAGGAGGAAGAGGGGGGACAGGAGGACATTCTCAACAAGCTGGATGACACCACCTCTCACAGGCAGATGGACATCGGGGGAGGGGTGATGGTCAACGTTGGACAGGAGGACTACGGTAATGGTCGCTACTTTATCATTCTAAACATATTCGGGGTTACTTCATCTAAATCTCTCAATAGCCAAATCCAATCATGATTGATTGGATCTCAAGTGGTTTCCTCCTTTTGTGCTTGATCGTGAAGAGGTACATTACTATTTTAGTGCAATTAAGTGCAGTTGTAACAGTGTTGAATTGTTGTCCATCTCAGATAGTGAATACTACAAGTCACAGGCCCTAAGGAACGCTAAAGAGGCCTACGACATCCACCAGGCCAGAGTAAGTCCCAGCAGTACCTCCAACACCTCATCAACATGAGTCCACCCAGATAGATATGTACACTCAACATGGGAAAATGATTCTTATGCCAGCGTTCTCAAAGCAGACGGTCCACTTTTTCTCCCTCTAGACGCGTCTCTTTGATGAGGAGGCTAAGGACAGTCGCTGTGCCTCCCTGCACCAGGCCAGTGGGTCAGGGTCAGGATTCGGGGAGAGCTACAGCCTGTCTAACCCTTCTATCCAGGCCGGGGAAGACATCCCCCAGCCAACCATCTTCAACGGGAAACTGAAGGGCTACCAACTCAAAGGCATGAACTGGCTGGCTAACCTCTACGAACAGGTGATGGACACAAGCTTCAAAATATCAACTTCTCTTTCTCTTTGTTGGTCGGTTTTTCTCTCTCTCTGACTCTCTCTCTCTCTCTCTGACTCTCTCGCTCTCTCTCGGACTCTCTCTCTCTCTCTCTGACTTCGTCTCTCTCTCTGACTCTCTCTCCCTCTCTCTCTATCTCTCTCTCTGACTCTCTCTCTCTGACTCTCTCTCTCTCTCTGACTCTCTCTCTCTCTCTCTGATTCTCTCTCTCTCTCTCTCTCTCTCTCTCTCTCTGACTCTCTCTCTCTCTCTCTCTATCTCTACTCATCTCTCTCTCTGATCTATCTCTTCTCTCTGCTCCATCTCTCTCTCTCTATCTCTGATTATCTCTACTCTCTCTATCTCTCTCTCTACCTCTTGAATTCTCTTTCTCTCTCTCTCTACTCTCTCTCTCTCTGATTCTCTCTATGACTCTCTCTCTACTCTGACTCTCTCTCTCTCTCTGATTATCTCTGACGATCTCTCTCTCTCTTGACTCTCTCTCTCTGACTCTCTCTCTGACTCTCTCCTCTCTCTGATTCTCTCTCTCTCTCTCTTGATTCTCTATCTCCTCTCTCTTGACTCTCTCTCTCTCTCTGACTCTCTCTCTCTCTGACTCTCTCTCTCTCTCTCTGATTCTCTTCTCTCTCTTCTGATCTCTCTCTCTCTCTGACATCTCTCTCTCTCTCTCTCGGACTCTCTCTCTCTCTCTCTCTCGACTTCTCTCTCTCTCTCTGATTCTCTCTCTCTCTCTTGATTCTCTCTTTCTGACTCTCTCTCCCCCCCCCACACACACCTGTCATGCATCCCATCACTCTGTCACTTTTCTCAGTAGTGACATCCCTTCCTGTTCCGTTCTCCCTCTTCATAGGGTATCAATGGTATCCTAGCAGATGAGATGGGTCTGGGGAAGACTGTTCAGAGCATCGCCCTGCTGGGGCACCTGGCTGAGGTAAGCAGAACACCTCAGTAAAATACTGGAGCTGTGCTTGGTTTAGTCTGCCTGGTCTCTTCCAAACATTAGCATTTGATTACCTTTGTACTTGGCATGCAGAAGCCGCAACGTTTCATTCTAAGGTGTTGTATTGTTATATATATATATTTACGGGCGATTGTTGATGAATCGTGTGAATGGGAACAGTCCAGCTGTGTCCGTGGGCCCCAAGGTGTTTTAAATGAGAGGGGAAATATAATGACATTTTGGGAATTTGAGCCCGCTCTGTCCCACAGGAAGACATGAGTCACAGCTTAGTATTGCCTGTTTTTCTCTCAAACACACACATGCACACACACACCTGTTGTGGTGACTGACTGAGTGTGTCCCTGTCCTGTTGTGGTGACTGACTGAGTGTGTCCCTGTCCTGTTGTGGTGACTGACTGAGTGTGTCCCTGTCCTGTTGTGGGCTGAAAATGAGTGTGTCCGTCCTGCTTTGTGGTGAACTGACTGGGGTGTTCCCTGTCCATTGGTGAGTGACTGACTGACTGAGTTGTCCTGTCCTGTGTGTGACTGACTGACGAGTGTGTCCCTGTCCTGTTGTATGACGACTGCTGAGTGTCCTGTTCTGTTGTGGTGACTACTGACTGAGTGTGTCCCTGCCTGTTGTGGTGACTTGACTGAGTGTTGTCCCTGTCCTGTTGTGGTGACTGACTGACTGAGTGTGTCCTGTCCTGGTTGTGGTGACTGACTGACTGAGTGTGTCCCTGTCCTGTTGTGGTGATGACTGACTGAGTGTGTCCCTGTCCTGTTGTGGTGACTGACTGACTGAGTGTGTCCCTGTCCTGTTGTGATGACTGACTGAGTGTGTCCCTGTCCTGTTGTGGTGACTGACTGACTGAGTGTGTCCCTGTCCTGTTGTGGTGACTGACTGACTGAGTGTGTCCCTGTCCTGTTGTGGTGACTGACTGACTGAGTGTGTCCCTGTCCTGTTGTGGTGACTGACTGACTGAGTGTCCCTGTCCTGTCCTCTGCAGCGTGACAACATCTGGGGTCCGTTCCTCATCATCTCTCCTGCCTCCACGCTGAATAACTGGCACCAGGAGTTTACACGCTTTGTCCCCAAATTCAAGGTGAGACATCAGGATCCCACCATTGCTCTGACATCTACAGCACATATAACATTATCTCTCTATCAGCTGTTCTCATCTCTCCATCAGCTGTTCTCGCCATCAGCTGTTCTCGCCATCAGCTGTTCTCTCTCTCTCATCAGTCTCATCAGCTGTTCTCTCTCCTGTCCATACAGCTGTTTCTCTCATCGCTCCCATCAGCTGTTTCCATCTCTCCATCAGCTTTTCTCTCAATCTCTCCATCAGCTGTTCTCTCCATCAGCTGTTCTCTCATCAGCGCTTCTCCATCCCTCCATCAGCTGTTCTGTCTATCAGCTGTTTCTCTCCCATCAGCTTTCTCTCATCAGCTGTTCTCTCACAGTTCTCATCATCAGCTTTCTTCATCGCATCTCTTTCCATCAGCTGTTCTTCTCCATCAGCTTTTCTCTCCATCAGCTGTTCTCCATCTCTCCATCAGCTGTTCTTGCCATCAGCTGTTCTCTCCATCCCTCCATCAGCTGTTTCTCGTCTCTCATCGCTTTGTTTTCATCATCGCTGTTTCCATCCTCTCATCAGCTGTTCTCTCTCTATCAGCTGTTCTCTCATCTCTCCATCAGCTGTTCTCTCATCAGCTTTCTCTCTTCATCGCTGTTCTCCATCTCTCATCAGCTGTTCTATCTCTCATCAGCTTTTTCTCACTGTCTCATCTCTCCATCAGCTGTTTCTCTCACAGCGTTCTCCATCCTCCATCAGCTGTTATCTCTTCATCAGCTGTTCTCCACACTTTCCTCTCTCATCAGCTGTTCTCTCACTCCATCAGCTGTCTCTGCTCTCTCATCTCTCCATCAGCTGTTCCTCATCTCTCATCAGCTGTTCTCTACATCAGCTTTTCTCTCATCAGCTGTTCTCTCCATCAGCTGTTCTCCATCTCTCCATCAGCTGTTATGTCTATCAGCTGTTCTTGCCATCAGCTGTTCTCTCCATCCCTCCATCAGCTGTTCTGTCTATCAGCTGTTCTCTTCATCAGCTGTTCTCTACATCTCTTCATCAGCTGTTCTCTACATCAGCTTTTCTTCCATCAGCTGTTCTCATCTCTCCATCAGCTGTTCTCTCCATCTCTCCAACAGCTGTTCCCTCATATCTCCATCAGCTGTTCTCCATCTCTCCAACAGCTGTTCCCTCCATCTCTCCATCAGCTGTTCTCCCATCTCTCCAACAGCTGTTCCCTCATTCTCCACAGCTGTTCCCTCCATATCTCCATCAGCTTCTCAACAGCTGTTCTCTCCATCTCTCCAACAGCTGTTCCCTCCATCTCTCCATCAGCTGTTCCCTCCATCTCTCCATCAGCTGTTCCCTCCATCTCTCCATCAGCTGTTCTCTCCATCTCTCCAACAGCTGTTCCCTCCATCTCTCCAACAGCTGTTCTCTCCATCTCTCCAACAGCTGTTCCCTCCATCTCTCCATCAGCTGTTCTCTCCATCTCTCTATCAGCTGTTCTCTCTGTCAGCTGTTCACCCCATCAGCTGTTCTCCATCAGCTTTTCTCTCCATCAGCTGTTCTCTCCAGCTCTCTCCTCTCGTTAAACGATCTATTGGTTCTGTCTCTGTGTTAATTGACTATGTTATATTGTGTGAGGGAAAATGCATCTCAGCACCCTGTATAATCTGAAGGTGAGAGAACCGGTGGTTGCTTAGATCCCTGATTTCCGATTTTGTCCTTTAGTGGGCAGCATAGTATTATAGGACTTATGGTAACTATGAATCAGAGGCATGGTATCTTACAACACACACACACACACACAACCTCCTCCATATACACCCTCCTCGTCCAACTTTTCACTGCAAAGCCATCATTGTTGGACGTTTTTCAGAAGAAAGTAAATCAACTGTTTCACCATGGTGATGAGGTGTTAACAAACATCAGATGAATATCAGTTCCTGAGAACGAGCCTGACCCAGCAACAATGGACACACACACAATGGAGCCTCAGCCAGTATTTGTGTTGAGTGATTCATTATGGTCCCGTCACATAGTTTAACATAACGTCTCACATCAACAATCCATGGAGTCAGAGTTGAAATGTTTTCTCACTAAACAATAACAAATAAATTTTTCGAGAAAAAAAAAGTAACTGTGCAAAATGTTTCTTTCTACTGGAATAAGTCAGAAGATTTGTGAGTATAAAATGTAAACATTCTGTTGTTATAAAATAACTATATTCGATTAGAAACAACAGTTCTACACAGACTTAGTATCAAAACTCCTTTAGGTCTGCCTCAATGATTACTGGACCTCCTTGAGAAAATATAAACTCTGCAGATTCACATATTGTATTCATGCATTTAACCCTGTGTGCTGTTTGTCCCTCAGGTTCTGCCGTACTGGGGTAACCCTCACGACCGCAAGGTGATCAGGAAGTTCTGGAGCCAGAAAACCCTGTACACCCAGAATGCTCCGTTCCATGTGGTCATCACCAGTTACCAGCTGGTAGTTCAGGATGTCAAGTACTTCCAGAGGGTCAAGTGGCAGTACATGGTTCTGGATGAGGCCCAGGCCCTAAAGAGCAGTACCAGGTAAACCTTAACCCTAAGACCCTACCCCCTGGACACCCAATAGATGCTTGGTAAACAACAGGGGTAGACTATCAGTGAAAAGCCATTCCCAACAATGCACAGAGAAAAAAAGAGATCATATATATATATTTTTGAGATTGTTGAGGATTTGTGGGCCTATGTCAAATCTTTCCAGCCTCCTGAGGGGGAAGAGGCATTGTCGTGCCTTCTTCACGACTGTGTCGGTGTGTGGACCATGATAATTCTTTAGTGATGTGGACAAGGAGAAGCGCTCCACTACAGTCCAGTGGATGTGGGTGTGCTCGGTCCTCCGTTTCCTGTAGTCCACGATCAGCTATTTGTCTTGCTGACATTGAGGGAGAGGTTTGTGACCTGGCACCACACTGTCTCATCATCGTCGGTGATCAGGCCAACCACAGTCGTGTTGTCAGCAAACTTAATGATGGCGTTGGAGTCGTGCGGGGCCACACAGTCGTAGGTGAACAGGGAGTAGAGGAGGGGACTAAGCACACAACCCTGTGGGGCCCCTGTGCTTGAGGGTCAGCATGACGGATGTGTTGTTGCCTACCCTCACCACCTGGGGGCGGCCCGTCAAAAAGTCCAGGATCTCAGTCCCAGGGTCCTGAGCTTAGTGATGAGCTTGGAGGGGGCTATGGTGTTGAACGCTGAGTTGTAGTCAATGAACAGCATTCTCATGTAGGTGTTCCTCTTGTCCAGGGGAGAGAAGGTTTGTGTTTAGTGCAATAGAGATTGCGTTATCTGTGGATCTGTTGGGGCGGTATGCGAATTGGAGTGAGTCCAGGGTGTCGGCGTTGACGTGTGCTATGACCAGCCTTTCAAAGCATTTCATGGCTACAGATGTGAGTGCTATGGGGCGATAGTCATTTAGACAGGTTACCTTGGTGTTCTTGGACACAGGGACTATGGTGGTCTGCTTGAAACGTTTAGCTATTACAGACTGGGTCAGGGAGAGGTTGAAAATGTCAGTCTAGACACTTGCCAGCTGGTCAGCTCATATTCTGAGGACACGTCCTGGTCATCTATCTAGCCCTGCGGCCTTGTGAATGTTATCCTGTTTTAAAGGCTCGCGTCACTGGGCAGCTCGTGGCTGGGTTTCCCTTTGTAATCCGTGATAGTTTGCAAGCCCTGCCACATCCGACGAGCGTCAGAGCTGGCATAGTAGGATTCGATCTTAGTCCTGTATTAACGTTTTGACTGTCTGATTGCTCGTCGGCGGTCGTAGCAGGATTTCTTATAGGCGTCCGCATTAGTGTCCCGCTCCTTGAAAGTGGCAGCTCTAGCCTTTAGCTCAACGTGGATGTTGCCTGTAATCCATGGCTTCTGGTTGGGATGCACTTATTAATGAATCCGGTGACTGATGTGGGGAAACCCCTCAATGTTATCGGATGAATCCGGAATATATTCCAGCCTGTGCTAGCGAAACAGTCCTGTAAGCTTAGCATCCGCTTCATCGGACCACTTCAGTATTGAGCATGTCACTGGTACTTCTTGTTTGAGTTTTTGCTTGTAAGCACGAGTCAGGAGGATAGAGTTATGGTCAGATTTGCCAAATGGAGGGCGAGGGAGAGCTTTGTGAGTGTCTCTGTGTGTGGAGTAAAGGTGAGTGTTTGGAGTGAAGATGAGTTTTTTTCGCCTCTAGTTGCCAGGTGACATGCTGGGAAAAATGAGGCAAGACAGATTTCAGTTTCCCTGCATTAAAATCACCAGCCACTAGGAGCGCCGCCTCTGGGTTTTCTTGTTTTCTTATGGCCCTATACAGCTGGTTGAGTGCGGTCTTAGTGCCAGCATCGGTTTGTGGTGGTAAATAGTCGGCTTCCAGTAATACCGTATTACCCCGGTATGGTACAGAAACGGTATGACGCTATGAAAATCTGGATACCGCCAAACCCTAGTAAATAGACAGCTATGAAAAATATAGATGATAAACTCTCTTGGTAAATTGTATGCTGCAATTTATCATGAGGTATTCTAACACAGGCGAGCAAAACCTAGAGATTTCCTTAACATTAGAGATGCGCACCAGCTGTTGTTGACAGAGAGAGACCTCCCTCCTTAACCAGCTGTTGTTGACAGAGAGAGACACCTCCCTCCTTAACCAGCTGTTGTTGACAGAGAGAGACACCTCCCTCCTTAACCAGCTGTTGTTGACAGAGACGCCTCCCTCCTTAACCAGCTGTTGTTGACGAAGAGAGACACCTCCCTCCTTAACCAGCTGTTGTTGACGAAGAGAGACACCTCCCTCCTTAACCAGCTGTTGTTGACAGAGAGAGACACCTCCCTCCTTAACCAGCTGTTGTTGACAGAGAGAGACCTCCCTCCTTAACCAGCTGTTGTTGACAGAGAGAGACACCTCCCTCCTTAACCAGCTGTTGTTGACAGAGAGAGACACCTCCCTCCTTAACCAGCTGTTGTTGACGAAGAGAGACGCCTCCCTCCTTAACCAGCTGTTGTTGACAGAGAGAGACCTCCCTCCTTAACCAGCTGTTGTTGACAGAGAGAGACCTCCCTCCTTAACCAGCTGTTGTTGACAGAGAGACACCTCCCTCCTTAACCAGCTGTTGTTGACAGAGACACCTCCCTCCTTAACCAGCTGTTGTTGACGAAGAGAGACGCCTCCCTCCTTAACCAGCTGTTGTTGACAGAGAGACACCTCCCTCCTTAACCAGCTGTTGTTGACAGAGAGAGACACCTCCCTCCTTAACCAGCTGTTGTTGACAGAGAGAGACACCTCCCTCCTTAACCAGCTGTTGTTGACAATGAGAGACACCTCCCTCCTTAACCAGCTGTTGTTGACGAAGAGAGACACCTCCCTCCTTAACCAGCTGTTGTTGACAGAGAGAGACACCTCCCTCCTTAACCAGCTGTTGTTGACAGAGAGAGACACCTCCCTCCTTAACCTTACCCAAAGCTGCCATTCGGTCTTGACGACATAGAAAAAGCAGCTAGATGCATATTGTCCTTGTTCAGCCATGACTCCGAGAAACATAGGATATTATAGTTCTTCAGGTCCTGTTGATGGGATAGTCTGGAACGGAGCTTGTCCAGTTTGTTCTCTTAGTGACTGTACGTTGGCCAATAGAACGTCCAGTTTGTTCTCTTAGTGATTGTACGTTGGCCAATAGAACGTCCAGTTTGTTCTCTTAGTGACTGTACGTTGGCCAATAGAATGTCCAGTTTGTTCTCTTAGTGATTGTACGTTGGCCAATAGAACGTCCAGTTTGTTCTCTTAGTGATTGTACGTTGGCCAATAGAATGTCCAGTTTGTTCTCTTAGTGACTGTACGTTGGCCAATAGAACGTCCAGTTTGTTCTCTTAGTGACTGTACGTTGGCCAATAGAACGTCCAGTTTGTTCTCTTAGTGACTGTACGTTGGCCAATAGAACGTCCAGTTTGTTGTCTTAGTGATTGTACGTTGGCCAATAGAACGGATGGTAGAGACAGTTACTGCTCGTTTGCCTCTTGAGACGTCTCTTCCTCTTCCTGGTCCGAGGTGAACAGTACATCCACAGCTGTCGACTCGTCGAAGTACAAATCTTCATCCAAAACCAGGTTAGTGATCGCTGTTCTAATGTCCAGACGCGGTTGTCGGTCACAGGAAATGATGGGATCAGTGTATAAACCCCCCGTCCCCCACCAAATAGCAGAATTGGTCAGGAGCTCTTAAGATGGCAGCTATCGATCTCTGCAGCGCCATCTCAGTTCAGTGGGTCCAGTGAGTGTACACGGTTCTGGACGAGGCCCAAGCACTGAAGAGCAGCACCAGCTGGAGAAGTTATTTCAGTTGTGTCTCAAATGATACCCCATCTAGTGTTTCAATAATGATGTATAATGTTTGTATGGTGTTTGAATACATCATGTAGTCCATTAAGTTTGGATGTCTCTGTGTTGACAGTGTTCGATGGAAGATCCTGCTGCAGTTCCAGTGTAGAAACAGACTGCTGCTCACTGGAACACCTATACAGAACACCATGGCAGAGGTCAGAGGTCATTCTGTCTGTCTCTCTCTCTCTCTCTTTGTCTCTCTCTCTGTCTGTCTCTCTCTCTGTCTGTTTCTCTCTCTCTCTGTCTGTTTCTCTCTCTCTCTGTCTGTTTCTCTCTCTCTCTGTCTTTCTCTCTCTCTCTGTCTGTTTCTCTCTATCTTTGTCTGTCTCTCTCTCTGTCTGTCTCTCTCTTTGTCTCTCTCTCTGTCTCTCTCTCTGTCTGTGTCTGTCTCTCTCTCTCTCTCTCTGTCTGTTTCTCTCTCTCTGTCTGTTTCTCTCTCTTTGTCTGTCTCTCTCTGTCTGTTTCTCTCTGTCTGTCTCTCTCTTTGTCTGTCTCTTTCTCTCTTTGTCTGTCTCTCTCTCTCTTTGTCTGTCTCTTCCTCTCCGTCTCTCTGTCTCTTTCTCTCTCCCTCTCTGGAAAATAAATATAGGTCACATTTACATTTTAGTCATTTAGCAGACGCTCTTATACAGAGCGACTTACAGGAGCAATTAGGGTTAAGTGCCTTGCTCAAGGGCACATCAACAGATTTTTCACCTAGTCTGCTTGGGGATTAGAACCAGCGACCTTTCGGTTACTGGCACAACGCTCTTAACCACTAAGCTACCTGCCGTCCCGTTGTATTTACAATGGTGTTTGTTCTTCACTGGGTGCCCACTTCTTTTCACACATCTTGCTGCTGTGATATTTCACCCAATAGATATGGGAGTTTATCAAAATTTGATTTTTTTTCCAAATTCTTTGTGGGTCTGTGTAATCTGAGGGAAATATGTGTCTCTAATATGGTCATACATTTGTCAGGAGGTTAGGAAGTGCAGCTCAGTTTCCACCTCATTTTGTGGGCAGTGTGCACATAGCCTGTCTTCTCTTGAGAGCCAGGTCTGCCTACGGCGGCCTTTCTCAATAGCAAGGCTATGCTCACTGAGTCTGTACATAGTCAAAGCTTTCCTTTAAGTTTGGGTCAGTCACAGTGGTCAAGTATTCCAAATAGCATTCTAGTTTGCTCTGTTTTTTTGTTAATTCTTTCCAATGTGTCAAGTACTTATCTTATTGTTTTCTCCCTCTCTATATCTCTTTCTCAGCCTGTCTGTATGTACTGCATAGTGCCTTCAGAAAGTATTCATACCCCTTGACTTATTCCACATTTTGCTGTGTTCCAGCCTGAATTCAAAATGGATTAAATAGATTTTTTTTCTCACCCATCTACACTCAATACGCCATAATGACAACGTCTTTGCTAATTTATTTAATTTACATAAGTATTCAAACCCCTAAGTAAATGCATGTTAGAATCACCTTGGTCAGCGATTACGGCTGTGAGTCTTTCTGGGTAAGTCTCTAAGAGCTTTACACACCTGGATTGTACAATATTTGCACATTATTCTTAGAAAAATTATTAGAGCTCTGTCAAGTTGGTTGTTGATCATTGCTAGGCAACCATTTTCAAGTTTTGCCATAGTTTTTCAAGTAAATCTAAGTCAAAACTGTAACTAGGCCATTCGGGAACATTCAATGTCATCATGGTAAGCAACTCCAGTGTATATTTGGCTTTGTGTTTTAGGCTATTGTCCCGCTGAAAGGTGCATTTATCTCCCAGTGTCTGTTGGAAAGGAGACTGAACCAGGTTTTCCTCTAGGACTTTGCTTGCCTGTATTCTTACCTCTAGTCAGTTTTTTTTGTTTGTTTGTTTTTTTATTCCCTAGTCCTTGCTGATGACAAGCATACCCATAACATGATGCAGCCACCACCATGCATGAAAATATAAAGAGTGGTACTCAATGATGTGTTGTGTTGGATTTGCCCCAAACATAATTGTTTGTATTCAGGACATAAAGTTAATTACTTTGACACATTTTTTTTTACAGTTTTACTGTAGTGCCTTATTGCAAACATGATGCATGATTTTAATTTTTTTTATTCTGTACAGGCTTACTTTTTGTTTTGTCATTTAGGTTAGTATTGTGGAGTAACTACAACGTAGTTGATCCTTCCTCAGTTTTCTCCTATCACAGCCATTAAGAATTGTTTTAAAGTCACCATTGGCCTCATGGTGAAATCCCTGAGCGATTTCCTTCCTCTCTGGCAATTGAGTTAGGAAGGACTTCGCAATGCTCAAAGGGATATTCAATGTTAGCTTTTTTTTTTAGCCATCTACCAATAGGTGCCCTTCTTTGCGAAGCATTGGAAAACCTCCCTGGTCTTTTTAGTTTAATCTGTTTGAAATTCACTGCTCGACTGAGGGACCTTACAGATAATTGTATGTGTGGGGTACAGAGATGAGGTAGTCATGAAAAAATCATGTTAAACACTATTATTGCACAAAGAGTGAGTCCATGAAACGTGTGACTTTTTAAGCACATTTTTACTCCTGAACTTACAGTGAGGGAAAAAAGTATTTGATGGGCGGCAGGTAGCTTAGTGGTTAAGAGCATTGTGCCAGTAACCGAAAGGTCGCTGGTTCTAATCCCCGAGCCGACTAGGTGAAACATCTGTCGATGTGCCCTTGAGCAAGGCACTTAACCCTAATTGCTCATGTAAGTCGCTCTGGATAAGAGCGTCTGCTAAATGACTAAAAATGTAAAAAATGTAAATCCCCTGCTGATTTTGTACGTTTGCCCACTGACAAAGAAATGATCAGTCTATAATTTTAATGCTAGGTTTATTTGAACAGTGAGAGACAGAATAACAACAAAAAAATCCAGAAAAATGCATGTCAAAAATGTTATAAATTGATTTGCATTTTAATGAGGGAAATAAGTATTTGACCCCTCTGAAAAACATGACTTAGTACTTGGTGGCAAAACCCTTGTTGGCAATCACAGAGGTCAGATGTTTCCACCAGCTTTGCACACATCTCAGGAGGGATTTTGTCCCACTCCTCTTTGCAGATCTTCTCCAAGTCATTAAGGTTTCGAGGCTGACGTTTGGCAACTCGAACCTTCAGCTCCCTCCACAGATTTTCTATGGGATTAAGGTCTGGAGACTGGCTAGGCCATTCCAGGACCTTAATGTGCTTCTTCTTGAGGCACTCCTTTGTTGCCTTGGCCGTGTGTTTTGGGTCATTGTCATGCTGGAATACCCATCACGACCCATTTTCAATGCCCTGGCTGAAGGAAGGAGGTTCTCACCCAAAATTTGATGGTACATGGCCCCGTCCATCGTCCCTTTGATGCGGTGAAGTTGTCCTGTCCCCTTAGCAGAAAAACACCCCGAAAGCATAATGTTTCCACCTCCATGTTTGACGTTGGGGATGGTGTTCTTGGGGTCATAGGCAGCATTCCTCCTCCTCCAAACACGGCAAGTTGAGTTGATGCCAAGGAGCTCGATTTTGGTCTCATCTGACCACAACACTTTCACCCAGTTCTCCTCTGAATCATTCAGATGTTCATTGGCAAACTTCAGATGGGCCTGTATATGTGCTTTCTTGAGCAGGGGGACCTTGCGGGCGCTGCAGGATTTCAGTCCTTCACGGCGTAGTGTGTTACCAATTGTTTTCTTGGTGACTATGGTCCCAGCTGCCTTGAGATCATTGACAAGATCCTCCCGTGTAGTTCTGGGCTAATTCTTCACCGTTCTCATGTTCATTGCAACTCCACGAGGTGAGATCTTGCATGGAACCCCAGGCCGAGGGAGATTGACAGTTATTTTGTGTTTCTTCCATTTGCGAATAATCGCACCAACTGTTGTCACCTTCTCACCAAGCTGCTTGGCGATGGTCTTATAACCCATTCCAGCCTTGTGTAGGTCTACAATCTTGTCCCTGACATCCTTGGAGAGCTCTTTGGTCTTGGCCATGGTGGAGAGTTTGGAATCTGATTGATTGATTGCTTCTGTGGACAGGTGTCTTTTATACAGGTAACAAACTGAGATTAGGAGCACTCCCTTTAAGAGTGTGCTCCTAATCTCAGCTCGTTACCTGTATAAAAGACACCTGGGAGCCAGAAATCTTTCTGATTGAGAGGGGGTCAAATACTTATTTCCCTCATTAAAATGCAAATAAATGTATAACATTTTTGACATGCGTTTTTCTGGATTTTTTGTTGTTATTTTATCTCTCACTGTTCAAATAAACCTACCATTTAAAATTATAGACCATGATCATTTCTTTGTCAGTGGGCAAACGTACAAAATCAGCAGGGGATCAAATACTTTTTTCCCTCACTGTATTTAGGCTTGCCATAACAAATATATTGAATACTTATTGACTCAAGACATTTCAGTTTTTACATTTTTTATTGATCATAATTTCTAAAAACATAATTCCACTTTGACATTATGGGGTGTTGTGTCTAGGACAGTGACACAAAATCTCAATTTAATACATTTTAAATTCAGGCTGTAACAACAAAATGTGGAAAAATAGTCAAGGGGTGTGAATACTTATTTATCTCTCTCCTCTTTCTCTGTTTCTCTTTCTCTCTCTCTCTCTGGTTCTCTCTGTCTGTCTGTCTGTCTGTCTGTCTGGTACTGTAGAGATGCTGACAGTTATTATTTCTTCTCTCAGTTGTGGGCCCTTCTCCATTTCATCATGCCTACGTTGTTTGACTCTCATGAAGAGTTCAACGAGTGGTTCTCTAAAGACATCGAGAGCCATGCAGAGAACAAGTCTGCCATCGACGAGAGTGAGTACAGTACACAACCTTATTCTGAGATTGTTTCAGACTTTTTGTCTTTTTAATATCTACTTTAGAAGTACTCTAATCATTTAGCCAAGTGTTCCTGTCTGTCTTATAAAGTGATTGATTGATTTGTAGCTGACCATTTGTTGTTGTTTAGACCAGATGAATGTTTACATGTTGTTTAGACCAGCTGAACGTGTTTGTTGTTTAGACCAGCTAACTGTTTGTTGTTGTTGTTGTTTAGACCAGCTGACTGTTTGTTGTTGTTTAGACCAGCTGACTGTTTGTTGTTGTTTAGACCAGCTGACTGTTTGTTGTTGTTGTTGTTTAGACCAGCTGACTGTGTTTGTTGTTGTTTAGACCAGCTGACTGTTTTGTTGTTGTTTAGACCAGCTGACTGTTTGTTGTTGTTTAGACCAGCTGACTGTTTGTTGTTGTTGTTGTTTAGACCAGCTGACTGTTTGTTGTTGTTGTTGTTTAGACCAGCTGACTGGTTGTTGTTGTTGTTGTTTAGACCAGCTGACTGTGTTTGTTGTTGTTGTTTAGACCAGCTGACTGGTTGTTGTTGTTGTTGTTGTTTAGACCAGCTGACTGTTTGTTGTTGTTGTTGTTTAGACCAGCTGACTGGTTGTTGTTGTTGTTGTTTAGACCAGCTGACTGTGTTTGTTGTTGTTGTTGTTTAGACCAGCTGACTGTGTTTGTTGTTGTTTAGACCAGCTGACTGTGTTTGTTGTTGTTTAGACCAGCTGACTGTGTTGTTGTTGTTTAGACCAGCTGACTGTTGTTTGTTTGGTTTGTTGTTTTAGACCAGCTGACTGTTTGTTGTTGTTTAGACCACTGACTGTTGTTGTGTTTAGACCAGCTGACTGTTTGTTGTTGTTGTTGTTTAGACCAGCTGACTGTTTGTTGTTGTTGTTTAGACCAGCTGACTGGTTGTTGTTGTTGTTGTTTAGACCAGCTGACTGTGTTGTTGTTTGTTTAGACCAGCTGACTGGTTTGTTGTTGTTGTGTTTAGACCAGCTGACTGTTTGTTTGTTGTTGTTGTTTAGACCAGCTGACTGGTTGTTGTTTGTTAGACACTGACTGTTTGTTGTTGTTGTTTAGACCAGCTGACTTGTGTTGTTGTTGTTAGACCGCTGACTGTTGTTGTTGTTGTGTTTAAGACCAGCTGACTGTTGTTGTTGTTGTTGTTGTTAGACCAGCTGACGTTGTTGTTGTGGGTGGTAGACCCAGCTGACGTGGGTTTTTGTTGTTGTTTAGACCAGCGGACTGTGTTTGTTGTTGTTGTTTAGACCAGCTGACTGTGTTTGTTGTTGTTTAGACCAGCTGACTGTGTTTGTTGTTGTTTAGACCAGCTGACTGTTTGTTGTTGTTGTTGTTGTTTAGACCAGCTGACTGTGTTTGTTGTTGTTTAGACCAGCTGTCCAGGCTCCATATGATCCTGAAACCCTTCATGTTGAGGAGGATCAAGAAGGACGTAGAGAACGAGCTCTCTGACAAGGTGACTGACTGACCAATCACACACACTTTAGAGGTCCCGTCCAATCATCCTCACCCCACACCAGAGGCTGTATCTGTCTGTGCCTCAATATTCGACATTATTTATTTATTCCCTCAGGGAGGCGTCTCTGCTTTCATCACCCTAGTCCTCTACCCAGAGGTCACTTCGCACCCACATCTGTCTCTTTCGCTGTCCTCTCCCCCCACTCTCTCCAGCCCCTCACTTTCCGTCTCACTCTCTCTCTAGCCTCTCTCCCACTCCCTCTCCCTCTCCCTCCGCTCCTCCTTCCATACCTAGACTAGCAGCTGCCAGATGTTCCCAGATCGTTTTGACAAGCGTCTGTATTTCACCTCTTCCTCTGATGGATAGTTCTGTGTTTCTGTATCTAACTATGTCCTCTCTGACAGATTGAGATCCTAACATACTGCCAGTTGACGTGCAGACAGAGGCTGCTCTACAGAGCTCTGAGGAACAAGATCTCCATTGAGGACCTTCTCCAGTCTTCTATGGGTTCATCGCAACAGGCTCACAACACTACCTCATCCCTTATGAACCTGGTCATGCAGTTCAGAAAGGTACCAATGATCTAGTTAGTAAGTACTAGGGGAGGATCCCAGTATCACCAAACTCATTAGTATGAGGCAAGGAAACAAAACACGAAGCAGATTTAACTCCTTCAGGAAAACAGCACTAATGTTGGAAAACAAACATCATTATGTTGTCATCAAGGGTCACATGTATTTGTTTTCCAAGCTATAGCACACCGTACAGTGCATTCGGAAAGTATTCAGACCCCATGACTTTTTCCACATTTTGTTACGTTACAGCCTTATTCTAAAATTGGATTAAATAAATACAAATCCTCATAAATCGACACACAATAACCCATAATGACAAAGGGAAAACAGGTTTTGAGAAATCTTTGCAACTAAAAAACATATCTTATTTACATAAGTATTCAGACCCTTTGCTGAGAGACTTGAAATTGAGCTCAGGTGCATCCTGTTTCCATTGATCATCCTTGAGATGTTTCTACAACTTGATTGGAGTCCACCTTTGGTAAATTCAATTGATTGGACATGATTTGGAAAGGCACACACCTGTCTATATAAGGTTCCACAGTTGACAGTGCATGTCAGATAAAAACCAAGCCATGATGTTGAAGGAATTGTCCGTAGAGCTCCGAGACAGGATTGTGTTGAGGCACAGATCTCGGGAAGGGTACCAAAACATTTCTGCAGCATTGAAGGTCCTCAAGAACACATTGGCCTCCATCATTCTTAAATGGAAGAAGTTTGGAACCACCAAGACTCTTCCTAGAGCTGGCCGCCCGGCCAAACTGAGCAATCAGGGGGGAAGGGCCTTGGTCAGGGAGGTGACCAAGAACCCGATGGTCACTCTGACAGAGCTCTAGAGTTCCTCTGTGGAGATGGAAGAAACTTCCAGAAGGACAACCATCTCTGCAACACTCCACCAATCAGGCCATTATGGTAGAGTGGCCAGACGGAAGCCACTCCTCAGTAAAAGGCACATGACAACCCGCTTGGAGTTTGCCAAAAGGCACTTAAAGGACTCTCAGACCATGAGAAACAAGATTCTCTGGTCTGATGAAACCAAGATTGAACTCTTTGGCCTGAATTGCCAAGTGTCAAGTCTAGGGGAAACCTGGCACCATTCCTACAGTGAATAAATATATAATAAATAAATATATGCCATTTAGCAGACGCTTTTATCCAAAGCGACTTACAGTCATGTGCGCATACATTTTTACGTATGGGTGGTCCCGGGGATCGAACCCACTACTCTGGCGTTACAAGCGCCATGCTCTACCAATTGAGCTACAGAGGACCACATGGTGAAGCATGGTGGTGGCAGCATCAGACTAGGAGACTAGTCAGGATCGAGGGAAAGATGAACGGAGCAAAGTACAGAGAGATCCTTGATGAAAACCTGCTCCAGAGATCTCAGGACCTCAGACTGGGGAGAAGGTTCACCTTCCAACAGGACATCGACCCTAAGCACACAGCCAAGACAACGCAGGAGTGGCTTCGGGACAAGTCTCTGAATGTCCTTGAGTGGCCCAGCCAGAGCCCGGACTTGAACCCGATCGAACATCTCTGGAGAGACCTGAAAATGGCTGTGCATCGACGCTCCCCATCCAACCTGGCAGAGCTTGAGAGGATCTGCAGAGAAACTCCCCAAATACAGGCGTGCCAAGCTTGTAGTGTCATACCCAAGAAGACTCGAGGCTGTAATCGCTGCCAAAGGTACTTCAACAAAGTGCTGAGGAAAGGGTCTGAATACTTATGTATACTTATTTTTAATACATTAGCAAGCATTTCTAAAAAACGTATTTTGCTTTGTCATTATGGGGTATTGTGTGTAGATTGATAAAAACATAAAATAATAATAATTTTAGAATAAGGCTGTAACGTAACAATGTGGAAAAAGTCAAGGGGTCTGAATACTTTCCGAATGCACTGTATGTTCCATGCAGCAGGTTTTTAAAGGACCAAAGCGTTTGGTCTGCTTCCTGTTTTCATCTTTGCCATGGAAACAATATGGCTATACTGGTATCATCACATCCCTAGTAATTACTATAACAGTAATGATGTAGCTAGTGTTATAAACTGGGTGGTTCTAGCCCTGAATGCTGATTGGCTGACAGTACTATAACAGTAATGATGTAACTAGTATTATAAACTGGGTGGTTCTAGCCCTGAATGCTGATTGGCTGACAGTACTATAACAGTAATGATGTAACTAGTATTATAAACTGGGTGGTTCTAGCCCTGAATGCTGATTGGCTGACAGTACTATAACAGTAATGAGGTAAGTAGTAGTTGAACATTATTTAGATATTATATACCCTGTAACATGGGTATTCAAATCTTACTCTGCTAGATCAATAGTACTGCTGGTTTTCTGTTCTACCTGATAATGAACACCCACCTGGTGTCCCAGGTCTAAATAGAGAGGAAGAAGTGGAAAGATTGTATTTGAGGGCCCTATAAGGATAACTACATACAGCACTGCCTGTCTGACCTGTTGTTATCTAAACCCGACCAACCAGAGTCTGGCTCCTCTCAAGGTTTCTTCTTCCTGCTCTTTGTGGTTCAGTATGATCAGTGTTTTCTCTCTTCCTGGAGGTGTGTAACCACCCGGACCTGTTTGAGCGCCAGGAGACCCGTTCTCCCTTCCACATGTCCCTGAGACCCTACGTCATGTCCAAGTTCCTCTACCGCAACGGACTCATCTCCACACACACACACAGCAGGAACAAGTGAGGAACACATTCTTAATATATGACTATGAGAAATAAGATCATAATGTTTATTGTTATTACGACAGACAATCGCTTCTCTCCTTCTATCTCGCTGTTCTCATATTATAGTTTTTTATTGTAAACCCGGACCTGGGGTTTTCCCAAACCCCCCTCCCCCCCAGTCCTTACCCTGTCTGTCCCAATTTACCCCCCCCGGGTCATTAAAAAAAAGAAAAAAGTGATAACCAAAAAAACCCCCAACACCCCGGGGGGTTAAAAAAATTAATCACCCCCCGGGTTTTTATTGGTTTTTTTTTGTTTTTTATAAAAAATTTCTTTTTAGGTTTAAATTTTTTTTGGCAAAACCCCCTTTTTTGTTACAGCCTTATTATAAATTGATTAAATAAAACCAAATCCTCATAAAGCGACAACAAAAACCCATAATGACAAAGGGAAACAGGTTTGAGAACTCTTTGCAAACTAAAAAACAATCTTAGTACATAAAAACTATTAGACCTTTGCTGAGAGACTTGAAATTGAGCTCAGGTGGCTCCTGTTCCATGATCATCCTTGTTGCGATTTTCTTACAACTTGATTGGAGTCCACCTTTGAGTAACTCAATTGATTGACATGATTTGAAAGGCCCACACCTGTCTATATATAAGGTTCCACAGTTGACAGTGCATGTCAGACAAAAACCAAGCATTATGTCGAAGATGTCCGTAGAGCTCCGAGACGGGATTGTGTTGAGGGCACAGATCTCGGGAAGGGTACCAAAACATTTCTGCAGCATTGAAGGTCCTCAAGAACACAGTGGCCTCCATCATTCTTAAATGGAAGAAAGTTTGAACACCAGACTCTTCCTAGAGCTGGCACACGGCCAAACCTGAGCAATCAGGGAGGTGACCAAGAACCCGATGGTCACTCTGACGAGCTCTAGGTTCCTTGTGGGAGATGAGAAACTTCCAGAAGACAACCCATCTCTGCCAACACTCACCAATCAGGCCTTCTAGGTTAGAGGTGGCCGGACTGAAGCACTCCTCAGTAAAAGGCCACATGACACACGCTTGGAGTTTGCCAAAAGGTACTTAAAGGACCTCTCAGAACATGAGAACAAGATTCTCTGGTATGATGAACCAAGATTGAACTCTTTGCTGATTGCCAAGGGTCAAGTTCTAGGGGAAACCTGGCACCATCCCTACAGTGATAAATATATAATAAATAAATATATGCCATTTAGCAGACGCTTTTATCCACCAAAGCGACTAAAGTCCTAGTGCGCATAAATTTTTGACGTATCGAAACCACTACTCTGGCGTTACAAGGCCATTGCTCTTTTACCCATTGAGCTACAGAGGACCACCATGGTGAAGCATGGTGGGTGGGGCAGCATCGAAGCAGCATCGACTACAGGCGGAATAGTCAGGATCGAGGGGAACGATTGAACGGAGCAAAGTACAGAGAGATCCTGATTTGAAAACCTGCTCCAGAGATTCTCCCAGACCTCCGAACTCGTGGAGGAAGTTTCACCTTCCCACAGGACATCATCGACCACCCCTAAGCACACAGCACAACAAAAGGAAAACGCAAGGCAGGAGTTAGGCAGCTAGAGTGGAGTGGCTTCGGACAAACAAGTCTCTGAATGTCCTTGAGGTGGCCCAGCAGACGCCCGCCGGAACTTGAACCCGATCACAACATCTCGGGAGGAGTCTGTGAAAATAGGTGCAGCAACGCTCCCCATCCAACCTGGACAGAGCTTAGAGGATCTGCAGAGCAACTCCCCAAACAGGCTGTGCCAAGCTTGGGTCTGCTTCTCGAGCGGAAGATGGGCGAGAAGAGTGGGTGAGCGGCTATAAACCAAGAAAACGAAAGAAACGAGCGACTCGAGGCTTGTTGTAATTTGGGGTGTTGTTTTTATAGGTTATATGTTGTTTTGTGTTAATCGATTTTGCCAAAAGGGTACTTCTTACTTCAACTAAGTGCTGAGAGGATACAAGGGTTGACCCGGGGTCTGAGGTCTGGAATACTTATGTATACGTAATGTTTTAATATCATTATGCAAGCATTTCTAAAAAAAAAACGTATTTATTTTGCTTTTTTGTCATTATGGGGGATGGTGTGGAGATTGATGAGAGAATTTTTTTTATTTTAATCAATTTTAGAATATAAGGCCTGGTTTGTAAGTAACAAAATGTGTGAAAAAGAGAAGGGGTATGAATACTTTACGATGCATGTATGTTACATCAGAAGGTTTTAAAGGACCAAAGCGTTTGGTTGCTTCGAGTTTTCTCTTGCCCATGGAACAATATGGGCTATACTGTATACACATCCTATTCGTAATTACTATACAGTTAATGATGGTAAACTAGTATTATAAACTGGGTGGTTTAGCCCTGAATGCTGATGGCTGGACAGGTTACTATACCGTAATATTGTAACTAGTATTATAAACGGGTGGTTCTAGCCCGAATGCTGAGGTGGATGAACAGAGTACTATAACAGTAATGAGTAATAGTATTATAAAACTGGGTGGTTTCTAGCCCTGAATGTGATTGGTGACAGTTACTATAACATAATGGAGGTAAGGGTAAGTTAGTAGGTGAAACATTATTTAGATTTATATACCCTGTTAACATGGGTATTCAAATCTTACTCTGCTAGACAATAGTTACTGCTGGTTTTGTTATACATGATAATGAAACACCCAACCTGGTGTCCCAGGTCTAAAATAGAGAGGAAGAAGTGGAAAGATGTATTTGAGGGCCCTATAAGGATAAACCTTACATACAGCACTGCCTGTATGATCCTGTTGTTATCTAAACCCGACCAACCAGGAGTGGGCTCCTCTCAAAGGTTTCTTCTTCCTGCTCATTGTGGTTCAGTACTATGATCAGGGTTTTCTATCTTCCTGGAGCGTGTGTAACCACCCGGACCTGTTTGAGCGCCCAGGAGAACCGTTCTCCCTTCACATGTCCATGAGACCCTACTACGTCAGTCCACTTCCTTCTACGCAACGGATCATCTACACAACACACACACAGCAGGAAAAGTGGGGAACACATCTTCATAATATGATGATCAGAAGACAAGAAGTAAGATCATGTAAGGAGTTTAGGTGGTATTTCGGACAGCCCCGTTCAGAGGGAATACACCTGTTCGTGCGCGTCTCTCTCGCGCTAGCGCGCGTACCTGCGAGGGAGAGAGAGAGCGCGAGAAGAAAGAGGGCGGACGGGCAGAGACGGAGAGAGAGCGGAAGGTCGCGCAGGAGAGGCGCGCGAGGCTCGAAGGGCGCGCACCGCGCGCGCAGCGTAGACGCGAGAGCGGCGAGGAGAGCGAGCGGCGCGAGCCGAGAGCAGCCGGATAGACGAGACACGGAGAGTAGCGATCGGGCTCTCTTCTCGCGAGTTAGAAAGATCTCACGCGCGCGCGCGCCACGGGCGCGAGGGAGCTCCCTCTCACTCTCTCGCTCTGCACCTGTCTCCTCTTTCTATCGCGTGCTCTATCGCTCGGTGATGCTCTTCTCTTTTATCTCTGTCTCTCTAGCTCGCTATCTCTATCGCTATGCTCGCTCTCTCTCTCTGCTCTTCTCTCTTTCTCATTGTCAATTTCCACATTTAAGGGTTTATTGGCATGGGGAAAGGAAACATATGTAACATTGCCAAGCACGTGAAGTCGATAGGAATCAAAGTGAAAATAATAAACAGTAAACATTTACACTCAGAAGTTTCCAAAATAATAAAGACATTTTCCCAATGTCATATTGGTTTAAATACTAGGGTTGTAACATGTGCAAATAGTTAAAGTACAAAAGGGAAAATATATAAACATTACAATTGTGTTTGTATTTACAATGGTCTCTCTCTCTCTCTCTCTCTCTCTCTCTCTACAGGCGCTCCAGTTATACTGTCTCCCTTCTCTCCTGATCACATCCAGCAGTCCCTCTTCCACAGGAAAGGTAAGTGACCCTTCATTCTTTCACTTCAGTACAGAGGAAGGAAAGGAGAAAGACGAAGATTCTTAGACTTGTGTTTAGAGTTAGCCCTCTGCCTCCTTGTCTCAATGTTTAGAAAGTAGCTCTGCTCCTTGTCTAGTTTAGAAGGTAGCCTCTGACTTCCTTGTATACATTTTAGAGGTAGCCCTCTCTGTCTCCTTGTCTAATGTTTAGTTAGCCTCTGCCTCCTTGTCTAATGTTTAGAGTTAGCCCTCTGCCTCCTTGTCTAATGTTTAGAATTAGCCCTCTGCCTCCTTGTCTAATGTTTAGAGTTATCCCTCTGTAGCCATTGTCTAATGTTAGAGTTAGCCTATGCATCCTTGTCTAAGTTTAGAAGTAGCCCTCTGCCTACTTGTCTAATGTTTAGAGTTATACCCTATCTGTCTCCTTGTCTAAGTTTGAGAGTAGCCTCGCATACTGTCGAATGTGTAGAGTTAGCCCTTTCTGCTCCTCGTCTAATGATTTAGAGTAGCCATCTCTGCCTCCTTGTCTATTGTTTTAGAGTTAGCCCTCTGCCTCCTTGTCTTAATGTTTAGAGTAAGACCTCGGTCTACTGGTCAATGTTAGTTAGGGACACTCTGCTTCATTGTTAATGTTTAGAGTTAAAGTACTTCGGTCGCTTGTCTAATGTTTAGAGTTAGTCCTCTCTGTCTACTTGGTCTAATGTTAGAGTTAGTCCTCTGCCTCTTGGCTTAAGTTTAGAGTTAGTCCTATGCTCCTTGTCTAATGTTTAGAGTTAGTCCTCTGCCTCCTTGTCTAATGTTTAGAGTTAGCCCTCTCTGTCTCCTTGTCTAATGTTTAGAGTTAGCCCTCTGTCTCCTTGTCTAATGTTTAGAGTTAGTCCTCTGCCTCCTTGTCTAATGTTTAGTTAGTCCTCTGTCTCCTTGTCTAATGTTTAGAGTTAGTCCTCTGCCTCCTTGTCTAATGTTTAGAGTTAGTCCTCTGCCTCCTTGTCTAATGTTTAGTTAGCCCTCTCTCTCTCCTTGTCTAATGTTTAGTTAGCCCTCTCTGCCTCCTTGTCTAATGTTTAGTTACCCCTCTCTCTCCTTGTCTGATGTCTATGTTAATAAGACTTTCCTCCTCTCCTCAAGGTGATCATGAAGGAAGTTGTTTCTCCTTCCTGCGTTTCATCAATGTATCGCCAGCCGAGATGTCCAACGTCATGCTGCAAGGCACTGTGGTCAGGTAGGTGTCCATGGGACACTAGAGCTTGACTACCAGTTAGTCAACAGGGTCTGTGCATATTGATCAACATCTCAATGTTCACACAAATGTTAACAGTTCTAGAGTTAGTAATGAAAGATAATTACCATAGACTAGACGTGAGGATTGGGAACGTGGCTTTGAGTGGCGTAAGCACACGTCGGCGAGCCGCAGTAGTACAGAGAGAAGAGGCGCAATAGTGAGGACGCAGGGAGCGCAGCGCACGGCAGCTCTACGAGAGGACGAGCGGAGAGGAGAAGAAGCGAAAAGAGAGAAAGAGGGATAGAGAGCAATACTCTAGACGAGAACGACTAGAGGACAAGAGAGAAGAAGTGCGTATACGAAACGCCTCGAGCCTAGAACCAGACTCGAGACTTCAAAGACATAGCTAGTTGACAGAGCGCGTGGGCATATAGGGAAGAGGGAGGATAGAAAGAGTAAGCAAGATCATCCTTATTCTACTCCGCTCACGCCATTCCGTATCTCCAATCTCTCTATTGCTATAGCCATATCCTCTTCTCTCATAAATCTCTCTTTCTCTACTTCTATCTCTCCATCTTATTCTCTATCTCTCTCTCTCCTATATCTCCCATTGTCACTCTGTCTTCTCTCCTCTTTCAAGGTGGTTAGCTCTTTTTCTGTCCCTGAAGGAAGCATATCGGCTCCACCAGAGACGCATGTGGGGCCTGGAAGATGGAGGAGGGGAATGGAGGGAGGATAGGAGGAGGAGAGGAAGATGGGAGCGGGAGGCCCAGGAGTCCATGTCTCTCTCGGGAGGGGTTGATCTATTGATGGAAGACCTATGCCGTTCCACAACACAAAAACCAGCACAGTGATACAGGGAGAACAACCGACACTCAGCCTCCAGTCTCTCTCTCCCTCTATAACTTTCTGCCAGTCAGCCTCCAATCCTCCCTCTCTACTTTCTGCCAGTCAGCCCCAGTCCTCCTCTCTATCATCTATCTATAATTTCTGCAATCAGCTCACGTCCTCCCTCCTCCCTCTCTACTTCTGCCAGTACAGGCCTAACCAGTCATCCCTCTCTCCCCTCTCTACTTTCTGCCAGTCACGCCTCCAGTCCTCCCTCTCTCCCTCTCTACTTTCTGCAAGTCAGCCTCCAGTTCCTCCCTCCTCAATCTCTACTTTCTGCAGTAAGCCTTCCAGTCCTCACTCTCTCCCTCTATACTTTTCTCCAGTCAGCCCTCAGTCCTTCCCTCTCTCCCTCTCTACTTTATGCCGTCAGCCCTCCAGTCCTCCCTCTTACTTTATGCCAGTCAGGCCTCCAGTCCTCCCTCTCTACTTTCTGCCCGTGTCAGCCCTCCAGTCCCTCCCTCTCCCCTCTCTACTTTCTGCAACAGTCAGCCTCCAGTCCTCCCTCTCTTCCTTCTAGTACTTTCTTGACAGTCCAGCCTCCAGTCCTCCCTTCTCCTAACTCTCAACTTTCTGCCAGTCAGCCTCCAGTTCCTCCCTCTCTCCCTCTCTCGCTCTCTATCTTTCTGCCAGTCACGCCTCCAGTCCTCCCCTCTCCTCCTCCCTCTACTTTCGTGCCAGTCAGCCTCCAGTCTCTCCCTCTCTCCCTCTCTACTTTCTGCCAGTCAGGCCTCCAGTCCTCCCTCTCTTTACTTTCTGCCAGTCAGCCTCCAGTCCTATCCCTCTCTACTTTCTGCCAGTCAGCCTCCCCAGTCCTCCCTCTCTCCCTCTCCTCCTATAATTTCTGCCCATTCAGCCTCCAGTCCCTTCCTCTCTCCCCTCTCCCTCTCTTACTTTCTGCCAAGTCAGCCTCCAGTTCCTCCCTCTCTCCCTCTCTACTTTCTGCCAGTCAGCCTCCAGTCCTCCCTCTCTACTTTCTGCCAGTCAGCCTCCAGTCCTCCCTCTCTCCCTCTCTACTTTCTGCCAGTCAGCCTCCAGTCCTCCCTCTCTCCCTCTCTACTTTCTGCCAGTCAGCCTCCAGTCCTCCTTCTCTCCCTCTCTACTTTCTGCCAGTCAGCCTCCAGTCCTCCCTCTCTCCCTCTCTACTTTCTGCCAGTCAGCCTCCAGTCCTCCCTCTCTACTTTCTGCCAGTCAGCCTCCAGTCCTCCCTCTCTACTTTCTGCCAGTCAGCCTCCAGTCCTCCCTCTCTCCCTCTCTACTTTCTGCCAGTCAGCCTCCAGTCCTCCCTCTCTCCCTCTCTACTTTCTGCCATACCAAGGGCCTGTTTAAGCTGGTCCACATTCTGCCACCTAAAGAACAAGTGGAGAGAGCTTGAAGCAGAATGTTGCTTCCTCTAGCTTCCCCCGGTCTTCTCTAACAACCTCAGTCTCATCCTACCTTCCCCAGGCTAATTCAAACAGTAGCAGACATATGTTCACCCTCTTAGGTTTCTCCTCTGGAATGTCTTCTCTAGAGCAAGGAAGGTATTGATCCAGAGAGAGAGATCTAGATTTGAGATTTAAGTCATTTAGCAGATGCTCTTATCCAGAGCGACTTACAGTTAGTGAGTGAATACATTTTTCATACTGGCCCCCGTGGGAAACGAACCCACAACCCTGGCGTTGCAAGCGCCATGCTCTACCAACTGAGCTACAGACACCTGGAGAACTGCTATAAACTTTGTGATCCGACTCTCACCAAGAGTGTTATCATTTTTTTTCTACACAATGCAAAACTGCAAACAGTCAACTGGTTTCCAGGTGGTTTCATGACTCAGTGTCTATATAGCTCAGATCCATACTTTGTAGTCTCTCTCTGTGGCCTAACTCTCACTAGCTTGGGTTTGGTCTCTCAAAAACTCTAGCCACATCACTGCCTAGCCTTGCCAAATAATGACTCTAGCCACATCACTGCCTAGCCTTGCCAAATAATGACTCTAGCCACATCACTGCCTAGCCTTGCCAAATAATGACTCTAGCCACATCACTGCCTAGCCTTGCCAAATAATGACTCTAGCCACATCACTGCCTAGCCTTGCCAAATAATGACTCTAGCCACATCACTGCCTAGCCTTGCCAAATAATGACTCTAGCCACATCACTGCCTAGCCTTGCCAAATAATGACTCTAGCCACATCACTGCCTAGCCTTGCCAAATAATGACTCTAGCCACATCACTGCCTAGCCTTGCCAAATAATGACTCTAGCCACATCACTGCCTAGCCTTGCCAAATAATGACTCTAGCCACATCACTGCCTAGCCTTGCCAAATAATGACTCTAGCCACATCACTGCCTAGCCTTGCCAAATAATGAATCTAGCCACATCACTGCCTAGCCTTGCCAAATAATGACTCTAGCCACATCACTGCCTAGCCTTGCCAAATAATGAATCTAGCCACATCACTGCCTAGCCTTGCCAAATAATGACTCTAGCCACATCACTGCCTAGCCTTGCCAAATAATGAATCTAGCCACATAAATATTGACTTGCTGACTGAAGCAGAACCAGATTTGCATCCAGGCTCTTACAAGTATCTGAATCTTTCTTGACTGACAGAGCTAAGAGGATTCTGATCCCACTCAGTCAATCCTAGAGAGACCCAGACAGTCAGCCACGCCTAGAGAGACCCAGACAGTCAGCCACGCCTAGAGAGACCCAGACAGTCAGCCACGCCTAGAGAGACCCAGACAGTCAGCCACGCCTAGAGAGACCCAGACAGTCAGCCACGCCTAGAGAGACCCAGGACAGTCAGCCACGCCTAGAGAGACCCAGACAGTCAGCAACGCCTAGAGACCAGACAGGCCAAGGCTAGGAACCCAGACAGTCAGCCAAGGCTAGAGAGACCCAGACAGTCAGCCACGCCTAGAGAGACCCAGACAGTCAGCCAAGGCTAGAGAGACCCAGACAGTCAGCCACGCCTAGAGAGACCCAGACAGTCAGCAACGCCTAGAGAGACCCAGACAGTCAGCAACGCCTAGAGAGACCCAGACAGTCAGCCACGCCTAGAGAGACCCAGACAGTCAGCCACGCCTAGAGAGACCCAGACAGTCAGCCAAGGCTAGAGAGACCCAGACAGTCAGCCACGCCTAGAGAGACCCAGACAGTCAGCCACGCCTAGAGAGACCCAGACAGTCAGCCACGCCTAGAGAGACCCAGACAGTCAGCCAAGGCTAGAGAGACCCAGACAGTCAGCCAAGCCTAGAGAGACCCAGACAGTCAGCCAAGGCTAGAGAGACCCAGACAGTCAGCCACGCCTGGAGAGACCCCAGACAGTCAGCCACGCCTGGAGAGACCCAGACCAGTCAGCCACGCCTAGAGAGACCCAGACAGTCAGCCACGCCTAGAGAGACCTAGAGAGACCCAGACAGTCAGCCAAGGCTAGAGAGACCCAGTCAGCCAGCCAAGGCTAGAGAGACCCAGACAGTCAGCCACGCCTAGAGAGACCCAGACAGTTAGCCACGCCTAGAGACCCAGACAGTCAGCCACGCCTAGAGAGACCCAGACAGTCAGCCACGCCTAGAGAGACCCAGACAGTCAGCCACGCCTAGAGAGACCCAGACAGTCAGCCACGCCTAGAGAGACCCAGACAGTCAGCCACGCCTGGAGAGATCCAGACAGTCAACCAAGGCTAGAGAGACCCAGACAGTCAGCCAAGGCTAGAGAGACCCAGACAGTCAGCCACGCCTAGAGAGACCCAGACAGTCAGCCACGCCTAGAGAGACCCAGACAGTCAACCAAGGCTAGAGAGACCCAGACAGTCAACCAAGGCTAGAGAGACCCAGACAGTCAGCCACGCCTGGAGAGACCCAGACAGTCAGCCACGCCTGGAGAGACCCAGACAGTCAGCCAAGGCTAGAGAGACCCAGACAGTCAGCCACGCCTGGAGAGACCCAGACAGTCAGCCACGCCTGGAGCGACCCAGAGAGTCAGTCACGCCTGGAGAGACCCAGACAGTCAGCCAAGGCTAGAGAGACCCAGACAGTCAACCAAGGCTAGAAAGACCCAGACAGTCAGCCAAGACTAGAGAGACACAGACAGTCAGCCAAGGCTAGAGAGACCCAGACAGTCAGCCACGCCTAGAGAGACCCAGACAGTCAGCTACGCCTAGAGAGACCCAGACAGTCAGCCACGCCTAGAGAGACCCAGACAGTCAGCCAAGGCTAGAGAGACCCAGACAGTCAGTCACGACTGGAGAGACCCAGACAGTCAGCCACGCCTAGAGAGACCCAGACAGTCAGCTACGCCTAGAGAGACCCAGACAGTCAGCCACGCCTAGAGAGACCCAGACAGTCAGCCAAGGCTAGAGAGACCCAGACAGTCAGTCACGACTGGAGAGACCCAGACAGTCAGCCACGCCTGGAGAGACCCAGACAGTCAGCCACGCCTAGAGAAACCCAGACAGTCAGCCACGCCTAGAGAGATCCAGACAGTCAGCCACGCCTAGAGAGACCCAGACAGTCAGCCAAGGCTAGAGAGACCCAGACAGTCAGCCAAGCCTAGAGACCCAGACAGTCAGCCACGCCTGGAGAGACCCAGACAGTCAGCCAAGCCTAGAGAGACCCAGACAGTCAGCCACGCCTAGAGAGACCCAGACAGTCAGCCACGCCTAGAGAGACCCAGACAGTCAGCCACGCCTGGAGAGACCCAGACAGTCAGCGACGCCTGGAGAGACCCAGACAGTCAGCCAAGGCTAGAGAGACCCAGACAGTCAGCCACGCCTAGAGAGACCCAGACAGCCAGCCAGACAGTCAGCCACGCCTAGAGAGACCCAGACAGCCAGCCACGCCTAGAGAGACCCAGACAGCCAGCCACGCCTAGAGAGACCCAGACAGCCAGCCACGTCTAGAGAGACCCAGACAGTCAGCCAAGGCTAGAGAGACCCAGACAGCCAGCCACGCCTAGAGAGTCCCAGACAGTCAGCCAAGGCTAGAGAGACCCAGACAGTCAGCCACGCCTAGAGAGTCCCAGACAGTCAGCCAAGGCTAGAGAGACCCAGACAGTCAGCCACGCCTAGAGAGACCCAGACAGTCAGCCAAGGCTAGAGAGACCCAGACAGTCAGCCACGCCTAGAGAGTCCCAGACAGTCAGCCAAGGCTAGAGAGACCCAGACAGCCAGCCTACCAGCAGGACAGCCAGACTCTCTGTAATCCCCTACTATTTCCCCCTTCTTGGATCCTGGTCCATTCCCATTTGGCACATGGACACTCTTTCCAATATCACTCTATCCCACTGTGATGGATCTTTCCAACATCACTCTATCCCACAGTGATGGATCTTTCCAACATCACTCTATCCCACAGTGATGGATCTTTCCAACATCACTATCCCACTGTGTGGATCTTCCAACAATCACTCTATCCCACAGTGATGGATCTTTCCAACATCACTCTATCCCACAGTGATGGATCCTTCCAACATCACTCTATCCACAGTGATGGATCTTTCCAACATCACTCTATCCCACAGTGATGGATCTTTCCAACATCACTCTATCCCACAGTGATGGATCTTTCCAACATCACTCTATCCCACAGTGATGGATCTTTCCAACATCACTCTATCCCACTGTGAGAGATCTTTCCAACATCACTCTATCCCACTGTGATGGATCTTTCCAACATCACTCTATCCCACAGTGATGGATCTTTCCAACATCACTCTATCCCACAGTGATGGATCTTTCCAACATCACTCTATCCCACTGTGATGGATCTTTCCAACATCACTCTATCCCACTGTGATGGATCTTTCCATCATCACTCTATCCCACTGTGATGGATCTTTCCATCATCACTCTATCCCACTGTGATGGATCTTTCCAACATCACTCTATCCCACAGTGATGGATCTTTCCAACATCACTCTATCCCACAGTGATGGATCTTTTCCAACATCACTATCCCACTGTGATGGATCTTTCCAACATCACTCTATCCCACAGTGATGGATCTTTCCAACATCACTCTATCCACAGTGATGGATCCTTCCAATATCACTCTATCCCACAGTGATGGATCTTTCCAACATCACTCTATCCCACAGTGATGGATCTTTCCAACATCACTCTATCCCACTGTGATGGATCTTTCCAACATCACTCTATCCCACAGTGATGGATCTTTCCAACATCACTCTATCCCACAGTGATGGATCTTTCCAATATCACTCTATCCCACTGTGAGAGATACTTTCCAACATCACTCTATCCCACAGTGATGGATCTTTCCAACATCACTCTATCCCACAGTGATGGATCTTTCCAACATCACTCTATCCCACAGTGATGGATCTTTCCAACATCACTCTATCCCACTGTGATGGATCTTTCCAACATCAACTCTATCCCACTGTGATGGATCTTTCCATCATCACTCTATCCCACAGTGATGGATCTTTCCAACATCACTCTATCCCACTGTGATGGATCTTTCCATCATCACTCTATCCCACTGTGATGGATCTTTCCCTGCATTTGGAGCTGCTAAGTCTCAACTCTTAGCTGACCACCAGCCCCACCTCACCACTGTGTTACCATTCAACCCTGGCTAGCCATGCCTTTACACACGCTATAGTCTGTTGACACATAACCACTGGGATTTCAAACATTCTGTGGGCTAAAGGATGTCTTGGCCAAATGGTGTCATATTTGGGGGGTTGGTTACCAATTACCACAGGTCCCAGGCCCTGGAATGGAGAGAAGGGTGATCTGTTGATGTTCAGAACCCCACCACTAGATGGCACTGTGGGTCTGCCCATGTCTTATTTTACATGTGGTCTGATTTTCACTCTTTGTGCTTTTAGTTCATCCCCCAAACTTGTTTTTGATATTATGTTTCATTACAGAGAAAATTGGTTGTCACATTTTGCAGAGTCATCACTTGCCGTTGACTACAATGCGTTATGAAAATGTGGGCTAAAGCATGTTAGAAAACACTGCAAAATACTCCAACAAAATACTCCAACAAAATACTCCAAACAAAATACTCCAAACCAACTCATATTACATCCAAATCCTGGTCTGAATGATGTCTCTACACTACATTATTTTATTTTGTATTCTACTGTCCCATAATTCAAACAAGGATTTATGGCACAGTGGACATTTCTTTAAAAGGGTTGAGTGCAGAGAGACGACATTCAGAATGGGATCCTGACGTAATATGAGTTGGTGTGGAGTGTTTTCTAATAGCTTTAGACTTATTTGCACATTGCATTATAGCCAATGGCAATTCTCTCTTTAACAAAACAAAATATCACAAAAAGGGTGGGGGGGGCTCAACACAGAAAGAGTGAAAATACAGCCACATGTAAAAATGGGTGAACTTCCCCTTTTAACAGCGTTTTGAATGTTCACTGTGAACAAAACACATGTTGCATCACTCTCACTCACACACACACCACACACACACACACACCACACACACACACACACACACACACACACACACACACACTTTGAACGTTGTCATATCATGTTGCCTAAAAACTGCCAATGGGAAAAAAAGTTATTATGTTGGTTTATAAATGATTCCTTGATCAATAGGTCATCTGTTTCTCTCTACTCTTCTCTTTTTTACTCCCCTCCATGTTTGTCTCTGTTCTCCCAGGACCTGGTGTCACCGTGTCACAGACCGGGCTCTGATGGGTCACTGTGATGATTCTGGTCCAAAGTAGACACTATGCCAACTCCACCACCCTACGACCAGGCCCTACCCACAACAAACACCCACGTTCTGCTCACCGCTGGGCCAAGGGTGAGTCCCCGGTGCTGTGAGCGAGGAGGTGTGTAGAGGAGAGTGCTGTGTGGGGGTGTGGAAGAGAGAGAAGGTAAATAAATATGTGGTCAAACAGAGGACAAACAGAAACGCAGGAGACGTTTTTAGAGTCACTGTCTCGTTTTAGAGTGCCAGCTGGAAGACAACGAGGGGGTCACCTACACAACACCACACACACAGAGATATACACACACATACACACATCACACACACACACCACACACAGAACCACATGTTAGGCAGTAAGGCTGCTCTTGTCGCATGTTTCCAAAGCAACACATCTCTCCCCCCGTTACCCTGTCCTCGCGCGACCACCCAAAATGCTGAACGTCTCTTCTCTCTCTCACACAACACAACACACACACACACACACAACACACAACACACCCCACACACACCACTACACAGAGAGAGCATGGTCTGATTCACGATCATAGGTCTCCACATCAAACAAAGAGACCGAGTCCCTCCATCACGCCTCTTCGTCTCTGCTCTCTCCCTCCATCATCTATTTCTAGTTCTCTCTCCCTTGTTCATGCCATCCATCCCTCTCTTCCCCATCCCTGAGAATAACCCAAAACACAGGGGTCAAAACTCAATGTAGACCCTTCAGTTGTGTACTCATTCGGGTTAATTAAGCGCTCCGGACACTAGCAAGATCAGAAGTATCCCCTAATCAAACTCTAAAGAGCTTGTGCCCACCGCTCTTTAGGTTTGAGTTTCCCTCATGTGGAGGTTGGCAGGAGCAGAGACCCCTGCCGGTGCCAGATGGCAGCGCACGTACATTATTATACATCACAGAGAACTAGGGGCCTGTGACCCCGGCCCTGTGACACCGCTGTTGACCCCCGAGTTGACGTGTGTAGCATAGCCTTGCTCCTTCGGTGCTGAACCCTGGTGTATATTTTACCTGCCGAACGCCCTGGTGTGTATTTTATCTGCCGAACTCTGGTGTATTTACCTGCCGAACCATGGTGCTATTTTACCCTAGTGAACCCTGGTATGGAAGGATAATACCACTGGGACTGAGGGTTCGCCCTTGTTTAAATGGCGTTTAAAAGGGCCCGTGGCCCCAAGGACTGGTGTTCCCGAGGTACACCGGTCCAAGGGACGGATCCCGGGCCCGGGTCCAGGTTGGTCCCCGAAGGGAACAGTGGGGGGAAGGGGCAAGGAGGGGTTTTTTGTTGGAAAGAGGCCAGGGGCCGGGAGGGGTTTCAAAAGGGCACGGATGGGTCCAAAGGGGCACAGATGGGCAAAGGGGCCAATGGTCCAAAAGGGGCACAGGATGGGCCCCCAGAAGGGCACAGAATGAGGGGGGCACAGATGGGTCAGAAGGACAGGAGGGGTCCAGGGGGCCAGGTTTTGGGCCTAAGGCCCCGGATGGGTCAAGGGCACAGGATGGGCCCGAGGGTCACAGGAGGGGCCCCAAGGGCACAGATGGTCCGAAGAGGGCACGTTTGGTCCAAGGGCACAGATGGTCCAGAAGGGCCATTTCCATGGACAATGGTCCAGGGCACAGGATGGGCCCAAAGGGGGGGGCACAGGATGGGTCCAAAAGGGCACAGGATTGGGCCAGAGGGGGCACAGGATGGGTCCAAAAGGGGCACAGGATAAGCAACTGATCTTATGAATCACCCCACAAAAATTTTGTTAACCCTGTCATATTTCCCTTTTTTAACAATTGGGTGGATTTTTCGCTTGGATTCAGAGCCGGACGGGGTTGTGTTGGCCACTTCAGTTGGAATGAACTTAATCAATCAACATCGAACAACTTAATCAAATGAACATTGGAAAATCAATTCAATTTCTTTTTTTTTAATTGCTCCTTAGGTAACGGCGGTTCCCATGGAGCGTTACTGTGACGACCGCAGCGCTGAGTACGAGTTTGGGAGAAACGCTGGCAGGAGGGCAAGGCCGCCAGCGTGCTTCCTGTACGGGTCCCCTTATCTGGCCTCTGATTGGATTCCGCGACACCTTTCTAAACCCACGATGCCTGGGAGGATGGCCTCACCCCCGCCACGGCTGGTCCCCATCAAATCCAGGTCGGAGACCCCAGTGTGTGTTTTCCGGTGTTGCTTGAATTTAAAACGAGGACACCCTTTTGCTAGTCCCTGCCGCTCCTGCCCCTCAACGACACATTGTGTGTGTGGGGGGAAACCCCCCTCTGTTCCCTATCCCTGTTGGTGTGTGAGGGGGAACCCTCCTCTTTCCCTACTCCGAGTGTGGGAGGGCCCTCCTCTTTTCCCCTACTCCTGTAGTGGTGTGGGGGCCCTCCTCTTTTCCCTACCCCTGTTGGGGTGTGGGGCCCTCCTCTGCCCCCTATCCGTGTGTGTGTGGGGGGGGAAAACCCTCCTCGTTCCCTACCCGTAGTGTTGTGGGGAGCCTTACCCCTATTTGTGCGGCGTGTGGAACCAGAGGTTAGGGCCTGCCGGTGTGCTGTGAACCGGGAAACGGGCCTCCCGGGTGTGCTGTGAACCGAGGAATAGGCCTGCCGGCTGGCTGTGAACCGAGGAACTAGGGCCTTGCCGGCTGGCTGTAACCCAAAGGACTGGGGCCGCCGGCTTGCTGTAAAACCAGAGGAATAGGCCTGCCGGGCTTTTCTTGAAAAAGGGAACGGCCTGCCGGCTGTGCGGAACCAAGGATCTGGGGCCTCCCGGGCTGTGCTGTACCAGGGGGCAGGGCCTGCCGGCTGTGTTTAAAAACCAAAGGAACTGGGGCCCCGGCTGTGCGTGAACCGGGGAAATGGGGCCCTTCCGGCTTGCTTAAAACCAAGGGAACTAGGGCCTCCCGGGCGTGCGTCACCAGGGGAACCCAGGGGAACTAGGGCCTGCCGGTGTGTTGACCAGGGGGAACCCAAGGACGGGGCCTGCCACTCGGGGAGGTAAAGCCGGGGGGAAAAACCACCTGGGGTCACAGCAACAGGACGGGGAAACCCTGGGTCGGGGGGGTTCAGGCGGGGCTAACCGAACCAATCTTCACAGTCCTGCACTTCCAACGCGGGTTTTGCTAAACCTTCCTCTTTATGAAGCACACAAAGGCTTTGGGACCTGCCTGGTTTTATCACGATGTACGCTATGCAGTCAGATCTGTTTTGTGGTGGGGGTTAGGGGTTTTTAAAAAAGATTTCCCCCTTCTCACAACCTAGCAACCCCTCCTTTAAATTAGATAACATCTCATTTTTGGTTTGGCCGTATTGCTTTTATCTAATCTTCGGCCCGGGGAAGTGGTTGTGTGTTTGTGTGGTGTGTTGTTTGTGTGTGTGTGGGGTTGTGTGTGTTGGGTGAGGAAGAACGCTAAAGCTTGTGAGTTTTGGGGGGAAAGACAATGAAAATTTTTTGAATTTTGACCGGGGTCATTTTTCCATGTGAGGAATGCTAATGTAGTGTAATCTGTGTGTTCACAGTGTTTGTTCAGAAACCATCACCGACGGTGGCATTCAAGAGCTTTTAACATATGATGATTACAGGTGCCCCTTTGCTGGGGACATTAAAGCCCTTTAAAATATGCTGTTTTGTCACCAACAAAATCCCACACGTCTAAAGTTTTGAGAAGCTTTTAAATTTGGGCTGCTGATGTGAATTCCACCAGAGCGGTTTCCAAAATTTGAATGTTCATTTCTCTAAAATAAGTTGCCCCAACGCGTTTTCGAGAATTTGGCAGTACGCCCAACCGGCCTCAAACCCAAACCCAGTAGTTTTTTCTGACTATAATAAACCTTTTTTTGGGGGGGGAAACTTTTCTGATTGGCTGGCCTTTGCTCCCCATGGGTGGGCCTGGCTGGAAATGGGGGGGCCCTATGCCTCCCCAGCCTAATGAATTTATTTAAATTGACGTTTCCTTTTTAAACTGTAACTCAGTAAAATCTTAGAAATTGTTGCAATTGCGTTTTATTTTTTTTTTCAGTAAAATTTTAAAAAATACAATTATAATTTTTATTTTATTTTTTATTTTTAGTCATTTAGCGATCTTATCCAGAGCACTTACAGGCAATTAGGGTTAAGTGCCTTGCTCAAGGGCACTGACGTTTTTTTCACCTAGTGGGCTCGGGGATTAAAAACCACGACCTTTGGGTTTAGGGCACAACGCCTTAACCACTAGCTACCTGCCCCTATTTCTATGTGTCCCTTTGCGCTTTGGGGGGGGGGTGTCGCCTAGGCAACCGATACTTTTCTGCTATTTTTTCTTTTTGGGTTTAGTGCATCCGGATCCTTGGGACATCCAAAACCAAAAACTCTAACCGTAATCTTTTTTTTTTTGTTTTTTTTTTTAGGGGTAGATCAGCTTTAATTTGCAGAAAATTTGGGACTTCCATCAATGTAATTGTCTGATCACTTCCCCCCCAATATGTTTTTTCCCCCAAATACACGCTCAAAAAAAAAAAGGGAACACTAAAAAAACCAAAGTAACCCCAAAAGTAAATCCCCCTTCTGTGAATAAAATGCCCACTTGGGAACAACACTTTGAATAATTTACATGCTGTTGTGCAAAGGAATAGACAACGGGGGAAAATTTGGGAAATTAGCAAGACACCCCCAAAAAAGGGGACGGGTTTTTGCATGGTACCACAAACAATTCTCGTTCCTAGGGTTTTTCCTGGCATTTTTTGGGGTCATTTTTGAATGTGGCGGGTCCCTTTAAATCTAGTGGTAGATGAGACGGGGTCACAACCCACACAAGGGGTTTCAGTTGCACTCATCCGGATGGTACAAAAAATGCATTGTGGCAAAAAGGTTTGCTGTGCCCCTGTCACGTATTTCCCCAAAGGTGGGGGCGCTACCGGAGACGGCCTACATCGAGCGGAAGGGGGGGTAGGAGGGCAAACCCGCACGGAGCTCCCCCGCCTTTTTTCAAGGGGAGCGGGAGACTCCGAGCCCTGCAAAAGCCCTCCAGCGGGCCCAAAAATGGCATTGTCTGCCCAAACGGTCAAAAACAACTCCATGGGGGGGTAGAGGGCCCCGGTCCACAGGTGGGGGTTGTGCTTACAGCCCAAACACCGTCAGGACTTTGGGGCATTTGCCAGAGAACACCAGTTTGGCAAATTCCCAATCAATTTCTCTTCCAGATGAAACGGGTTCACATGAGAAAGTGACAGATTACAGAGTCGGGAGCCCTTGTGGAACGTTCTGCTCTGCAACCCCCCCCGATACTGGTTTGGCGGGGGGCTAGGGGTGGGGGTGGCTTTTTTTTCTTTGGGGGCCGACAGCCCTCCATGGTCGCCAAAGGGGGTTAGCCTGACTGCCTTAGGTACCAGATAACCCCTCAAACCCCTTGTGGGACCTATGCGGGTGCGGTTTCCCCGGGGGTTCCTCCAAATGAAAGACAATCAAAACCTCTTTGGGGCGGAGTTGTCACAGTTCCTGCAAGGGAGGCATTGATGCTTGGACTGGCCCCCCTTTCCCTAACCTAAATCCAATTGAGACTCTGGACTATTCCGTCCCCCCCCAACCCCGCCATTCACCACAGAGTCCAGGAGTGCGGATGCTTTAGTCCGGGTCTGGGAGAGATCCCTCAGGGACCATCCGCCACCTCTCAGGGCATCCCCCCCCGGCGTTGTAGGGGGGGTCATCGGCATTGGGGCCACCCCTATGAGCCTCATTTTGATTTTTTTTAAGGATTTTTGTGTGATTTTGTTGTCAGCACATTAAACTATGTAAAAAAAAAAAGTATTAAAAGATTATTTCATTCATTCAGATTGGGTTTGTTTGTTTTCCCCTTTTTATTTTTTGAGCATGTGTTTATATGTTGGTTATATGTGTGTGTGTATTATATATATTTTAATAATAATATTTTCATGCATACATTCAGCTGTGGGGGTGAATATCCATACAACATACATCATACATACATACATAATAAATACATAATACTCATACATACAACATACATACAATCATACATGCCCTTTTTTTAAAAAATTTTTTTTCCTTTTTGTTTTCCAACCCCACCCCCCCCCCCAAATTTGGGAGTAAACTATAACCAACGCTTAGGCCTCATTTCCGCTTTACATACATATAATTTTAGGACAGTCAATTTTAAAATAATTAATTTTGTTTTTTTTACTCTGAACTTCCTCTCCCCCCCTATCTGATCTTTTCATGAGTCCACCCGGGTTTGTTTTAACCATATCTTTCAACTTCCCTTTTTCCAAAAAAGTTTTAACCATATAAAATTAGGACACAGTATTTTTCTTTAGTTATCTTTGTTATTTTACAGCCCCAACCTTCAGCTCCATTCAACCCCCCCTTAAATTCTTAAAAACCATCCATTTTGGGTTTCTACTTGCCTTTAATTTCTAAAATGTCTGTGATGTTTCACAAAGGTTCTAAACCCCTTCTATTCCATTGTTTCTACGGGTTTTAAAATTGGAAAAAGTTTTTGCTAAAAGTTAAATTATATTATTGATCGATTACTATGCTTTTTAACACCCAGTAATGATTGCAGGGGTTTCTCCAGGTAAAATTTTCAACCTTCACCATTTCCCGGACCCGTACCAAAATACTACAAAGGAATACCAAAAAAGATATTAAAGTTCTGTTTTTTTCTTTGCAGCAAAATCTGCCCCAGCTGGGAAAATTGGTTCCCCCCCAAAAATAACATTCTATTGGGTTTCAAAATTTTGTATAATTTTTTAAATTGAAAATTTAAGTTTAATCCGGCGTTTTTGCGTATCAGTTCATAAAAATTTGCCATGAATCGGTACGTCAAAAAACTTTCCCAAATTTTTGCCATTGGGACGGCTGTCATCCTTTTGGTCCTTAAAAGAAACTGGTATACTTTGTTATTTATCCTTTAACTAATATTTCTTTAATGCGGGGCCGCAGACAATTCTTTAAATTTTCCCCCTTCCCTTTCCTCTTTTTGTTTTTTTGGAAGGGTGCAAATTTTTGGTTTAATTTTGGGGGGAGCAGACATTTTCCCAAGTTTTGTTTGCTGATGTGCGACAAAAACTCCCCATCCCTACCTATTATATAATTTTTCGAAGATTATAACCTTTTTTTTTCATTTTTTTAAAAAAATAGTTTTTTACAATTAGTATTTTTGAGTTTTAAACCC